TGCACAAGCACAGCAAAAATGGCTAGAAGAGTTTATCTGTTGAAAAGCAAAAATAAAGAGAAAAAGATAATTGGATGACTAAAGCCATTTTCAGCTTTCTCAACCCTCCCATCAAATGTAATTAGTCTTCCCCTTTTATGGTATCAAAACTCACTTCTTCCTATGAGTACAAAGTTATAATCTAATTGAACTAAGTTACTGCATAAATAGGTTAAACAATCACTTAATGATATCAGATTTCAATTTTTTTGAATCAAATTAAGTTTCAATTTTGAATTGATCAATTGTAACTTGATTTGATTGAATCATAATTCATTAGATTTTCGATATGATACCAAACATTGGTATAGGGTCCAAAAGCATATGTCACCAAAAAAAAACAAGATTTTGCATTTGCCCTTGCTTCCCTTTCCAAAGTAACAAAACTAACAGGACATACATGATGAAGATGATGTTAATGTCCCTTTAAGGAATGAGGGGACATGGTAGAGTGAATGGGGATGAAAAGGAGAGGGGAGAGGTGGATAAGAACAAAGTGTATGGCAACCCAATTGCATAATCATAGATGTGTGGAAGCTTCATCCAAAAATTATTGCTTTTGTTTTTTTTGTTCACAACCAATTAAATATTGGATGAGAGAGAAGAAATACATGAATAATGGCCAAACCATTTGGTTTGGCAGGTAATACTTATCCCTCTTTTGGGTAATTAGATGCAATGTATGCGAGCTCTAGTCTCTATTTAGCTGACTCACATAACATTCTTGGGTTTTTTTTTTTTAAAGAAAATCGACAATTTTTTTAATCACGTGTTATTTGGATTTATAGATTTATGATATTAATATACACTCTAAATACATGTAATCAACTATAAGTTATGCATATCTAGTAAACCCGAACAAAAAAGAAATCTTTTACAATCTTAGATTCAAACTCTCTCTACTAGGTTGTTCGTAATCTTGATTTGTGCTCTCTTCCCTCTATCTCCCAAGTACTCAAGTTCTTGACAATTTGGAAGAAAAATAAATTGCAACTAAAAATCAATCACAGCTGCCCGAAACCCATCCGAATTAATCTCAAGGATAATTCAATTAATAACATAAACGAGTATAAAGTTAAACGTTCTGAGTTTAAATCTTGATACTCTTTGAAGATAAGTTATGAAATGATTTATCTCTTATAAATTTTTTAATCACAAAGTAGATGGCCTGCATTTAACCGAAATAAAAAAAAAAATTAATTGACGTACATATAAGTTGATCCGAATTTTTTGGCTGTTGAAAAAAATGACCCATCTGAATTAGTGTCCAATTGGAAATATGAATATGAATATTATCATTGAAGGGTACTATGGATGAGTGAGGATTCATGTTTGATGCTGATAGATCCATGAATTGCTGGAATGGGAGTAAAATGGTACCCTTCACCGACTTGTTCATGTCAAATGGAGGCTCCCCAGTTTGGCTAAGGGACAACGTGTACGATAATGATATGGGACCTCTTTTCTCTTCTGGTTCATTACTTCATTGTCTGAAGTGACATGGAAAGTTTCATAATAGGCCCCACCATATTAACAAAAAAAAAGAGTAAAAAAAAATGAAAAAGAAGAAAAGAAGTTAAAAAAAGGAATAGAGTTATCGATGGTATCAAAAAAAAAAAAAGTATTGTATCAACATTTATAATTTTTATGACTATTTTTATCGCAATTATTTTGATCACATTTTTAGGATTAATCGTAAAATACCACAAAAGTGATAATAACAGTTATCATAACAATCGTAAAAATATTCACACAGTAGTAAATACACTTATAAAAGTTATAAATCACCGACAAAAGCGATAAAATTTTTTATTGTAAAAATGGTTCACAAAAATTGTAAAAACACCTATTAAAGTAGTAAATTTTAGAGATACGGTACCGAATTTTTTTTTTTTGGGTACCGTAATCAAGTCCAAAAAAAATTAGCTGGACATAGTGAGATTTCTCTATTATATTTTCTTTTCAATTTTCTTCTTAGCAGATCATTAAAGAATCCATTTGTCATTAATAATAGATAATTTCGCTAATAAAAAAATATTCGACGAGAGCTAATAGCCATCGGACATGACTGGGAATGAACACCATTCAGATAAAGATATTGATAAGATTCAAATAGTCTGAGTCTGAAGGTCCACAAAACCCCTTTGTAAGGTTGGTACCATGTGGTCTGGGGTATAGAGTTACAGACATGCTTGTAATTTAAGGAACGTGCAATTTGAACTTATCCATCATTATGTTGCCTAATCTCCCCTTGTTGCCCTACTTGTACATGAAAAGTCTACCATACTGAAAGAAAAAACAAAACAAATTTGTTTCCTACCCAAAAAAAAGACTATGATCAATTATAAATACTCGTGATCGAACATAAACGTCCATTAAACAGTTATAACTTTTTCTTTATTAGTTCTAACTTAACCTTAAAAGTTATAAATTTTGAATAAGATAATTAAAATAAAAGATATGTTAATAGAGAAATGTTATATGAACTCTAAAAGTTAATACTATTTGTCGACTTTATCGATCATAACCATTGAGTAGGTGACGAGTTCTAATAAATATTTAGACTCACAATTAAATCAATGATAGTGATGAATGAAGTCAACAAATGGTATTAACTTTTAGAGTCCAAGTAACATTGCTCGTGTTAATATCCGTTTTATTATTAAAAAAAAAAGAAAGGAAATTTAATGAAATATTATAAAAGAATAAGATTCATATCACCAACTAATTATATATAAATACGTAGGACTCGTGAATTGAATCTCCCCCCTTGACCCGGAGCTTCCGTTTTGAACGGGTCTTGTGTCGTTTAATGAGATTTGTAGATCTTTGAGAGTTTTTTGGATCAGAGATTTTCGGATCTTAGGGCTCTTACCCTTTGATGGCCTACCAATCTCGCTCTCATCTGTGCATTGTGATGGGTTGCATTGGACCTATTGGTGGCCTGTGGTGCTGCTAAGCGGAGCGTGAGAGGATGAGGATGGTGCCAGTGGTGCTGTGAAATTGAGTGTGCCGAGGCAATGGTGCTGGTAGTATGTAGGGGTGAGGAAGGACATATATTTTTATGTTTTGGGTTTGTGTGTCGAGAGTTAGAATTAGATTTTTTTTTTTTGTTAAAGGGTAAAGTAGTCATTTCATCATTTTTGTTAAGTTTACGGTATTAGCAGGGGGTGGCAGTGTTATTTTTAATACCTGAGGGATCCCATCTGATTAAGTGGCAAACTTCAAGGGGCCCAAATAAAATGTACCCTTAAATAAAATTATTCTTTTCATTAGATTTTTAAAAATTTTGTGAGATAATTCTCTTATTATATTTAAAAAAAACTTAATGATTTGACATATAACGAGCTATCAAAATTTTTTGTTCCCAAAATGAAGCATCAAATTTTATGATGATAAGTATAAAACAATTTTTTTTCAAAAGTAGTGTAGAAACGTTGATCATGATATATTCTGTACATTGTAAGTTTGTTTATAACGATAATTTCTTAAATAGAATTGTGATTCCATCCTTAACTAAAGACAGACATGATTGAATGTAAATTGTTAATAAGCAAGTTAATGAATTTGATTTTGATCGTAATATGAATGATGTTAACGAGAAGTGAACTGACATTTTTAATCGAGAATTTGAATTCAAATCTTGTAAATCATTATTCACGTATACAAATTTAAATATATTAATGTTTGTTATGTAAAAATTATACATGTGTATATAAAATGTAATAAAATTAAGTAATTATTAGTTAAAATTGATTTAGATGCAATTTGTTACAATTCAACTTAATTGAGATGTTTGTATCGAATTAGATCAAATAGTCCAAAATTTTTGAATTAAAATTCAATTCAATTCAATTCAAAGTAGACAATGTTAAATACGAGTACTAAAAATCCAGAGCCAGAGATAACAAGAAAGGTTCGACTCCGAGGGATTATTCCAATCGCTCTTACTAACGACAAAGTGATGCGAAATTAAACTATGGCTCGAGTAGATCTTTGAGAGCGTTTGCGATTTCAAACAGATGTTTTATTTCAGTTAAGCTCTTTTTTATTCTAAAAAAAATTAATAATAAAATTTGAATCATTAATGTAAAAAGAAACCGTAGTCCCTCGGGTTAATAATCGAGTCGAATCACTCGACTTCGACTTATTTTGGACTCAAATTTAGTTCATTTTTGACTCAATTTATTTCTAAACAATTCGAGTTTAAATAATTTTGTAAGCTCCACTCCAATTGATAAATTCGGATTCAACGTTTTGGGCTCGACTCATTTAAAAAGATGGGTTCAAAATACTCTGTCACTCGTTAACCAGGCATCGTCATCACCCAAACCCAAGTAACAAACTCAAACCGAGCAAATATTAAATGAATTTAAAAAGTAAATATAAAAATATAAAATGAATTTAAAAAATAAATATAAAAATTACACTTAATAATCTTAATTACTAATTTTATTACGTCTCTCAGCGTTTATTAAAATTCATTATTTATTCAATAATTAAAATTATTAAATTTAATTTTTATATCCATTAAACATTACTCGAACCAAAAACATCAATTCACCCGTACACCCACGGATAAAGATGCGAAGAAGTTAGACGAGAATGACACAGAAAACCCACCTAACTGCACACAAGACACGTACAGAGTTCAGAGAAAAAACTGGAAATATAAACAAGTAGGGTGAGCAGCGGAAGAAATCCACTCTTTCTCTCTTATGCGTAAATGCATCAGAAGAAATTTGAGTTTTCGATCGGAAAAGATAACCCTTCCCTCTCTTTCTCTTCCGATTTCAACCCAACAAACCCACCTAGTTTCATTCCTTCACTCCATCAAAAACACATCCAAATTCGATCGCAAAACGATCTGCGTGTCAAAATCCCAACTTTTTCCTCACTTCTGTACCCATCATCATACCTTTCAACGCCATCAACACCAACCCATCAAACCCATTTTAAGAATGAGTCCATTTCCAACAATTCATCAACAAACAAAACCGTTCTTTCAACACCCCACAAAAGCCTGTAATGTCTCAATCTCCTTCAACTCTTGCGCATTCCCCAACTCTTACTTCCCTCCACCACCAAAAAGCCTCTGTGTTTGACTCACAATCTTTTCAATCATCCTTTCTCTGTTCTGCCTCTTTTCCAGTAATTTTGGCCACGAAAAAATTGACTTTCAAACTGATTCACCATTCTTGCCATACCCGGTGGCTTAGAGTCCATATGAAGCTTTTCATTCTTCTTTCTTTGCCTTCCTTTTACGTCTTCACCTCAAATCATAAGTGGTCCTTTCTTCTTTATTTTCTATATGTTCTTGCTTTTTCAGCTATTCTCGTGATTTCTTTCAGTCTTGCTCTTCCTCGCCTTCCTTCAATTCGCCTATTTCTTGCCCGCACACTGTGCATTAAGCTTTCCTCATCAAACACTGCCACAAAGCCCCATCCTACAGTGGTTTGGTCAATTGGGTCGAAGCCCAAATCGGAGAAAAGGTCGAATTCCGGGTCTTGGGTTCGAGTTTATAGCAGTGGAGATGTTTATGAAGGTGAATTCCACAAAGGGAAGTGCTCTGGAAGTGGGGTGTACTACTATCATATGAGTGGGAAGTATGAGGGTGATTGGGTTGATGAGAAGTTTGACGGGTATGGTGTTGAGACTTGGGCCAAAGGGAGTCGATATCGCGGGCAGTATAGGCAGGGACTGAGGCATGGTTATGGTGTGTATAGGTTTTACACTGGTGATGTTTATGCTGGAGAGTGGTGTAATGGGCAGTCTCATGGGTGTGGAGTTCATAATTCTGAGGATGGGAGCTGTTATGTTGGGGAGTTTAAGTGGGGGGTCAAACATGGGCTTGGCCATTACAATTTCAGGTGAATTTTCAAGTTAAAGTTTGTTGAATCCTTCAATTGATCGATCAATAGGATTTGCATAATCATATCCATAGGAGTTTTTTTTTTAATTTAAGATCTTAATTGTGGTAATTATGTTTCCATATTGTTTGTTATGTTAATAGCCAATGCATTTAGTCTGTCCTTTTTCGTTTTTTCTGAAGTTCTCTTGGAGGAATTTGCTTTTCAGGGTAGGGGGTTGATGGATTTTTGCATATAGGGTTTTGAACTCCACGGTGTTCCTTCGGGATACACTATACGTTTTTTGTGATTTGAAGTTGGATATGGTGGCTATGTAGTGCCTAAGTTGGTTTCGTGCTCAGGCTCATGAGCTCAACATCTTTACCAGTGTGCCAATGCAGTGCAAAATATTAAATCAGTTGAATTTTGTAATGCAAAATATTAAATCAGTTGAATTTTGTAATTATCTCTGTTTGAGGAGTTGTATTCTTCGAATCTTTAGTTAGGGTGCAATTCATACCTGAGTCATCTTCATATGGATACTGATAGTTCTCGAAAATGCACAGCCCAAGTCCAGAACAATGTTTAATGAGGTGGTTTTTTTTTTTTTTTTTTTTTTTTGGGGGGGGGGGGGGTGAATACTCTAAAGTAACAGAGAAAAAGTATGAAGAAATGAGATCAAAGAACAATATATAAGTAGTTCACCCTAGCCGAAGGACCAGGGCTACGTTTACGGAAGTTCTTGCTCCGTAGGGTCTGTATTGCCTGAAGAAGAAGATTACAACCGATTTTTTTAGCTTAGAACTAGTGTGAACAGTGTCTTGTGAGTATAGATTTTTCTCTCATATGTCTCTCTTTTACATTGTGAGGGTATTATATATACAAGTAGTTATCTAGTGTTTTTTGGTGATCTTCTGCCTCCCCGATTGATTCTGTGGTCTCCTCCTTTTTGTCGTGACCGTTATTTTGACACAAATCATTTCCATGACCCTTCATTGGAATGTGCACAAATATTCCCTTTTTTAGTGAGTGTGTGTTCGTTAGTGGCTCCAAAAGCTGTCCTTCGGACACGTGGCGTGATGGAAGGTGTTCGGGATCCAGTGAATACCGAACTTATTTCTTCCGAGCTGCTTATTGCTGAGCTTGTCATGATTGAGCAGGATTGTGCCGACCTGCACTCTGTTGGACCCCCTTCTTTGAATTACGGCCCATTCCTATTACGGAGCAGATGGGCTGCGAAGGGGTAACTTGGGCTATCATGTAACCATCGAGCCCATTGGATGCTTTTGGGTTCTTGATGGGCAGCCCACACCAGAATCCTATCATTATGAGATAGTTTGTCCAATGGTACATGCTTAGATGAGTTGAACCTAGGTTAGTTGCCAATTGATTTTTGGTGTGTCAAATGGTACACACTTGGATGCATCGAACCTAATTTGGTTGCTAGTATGATTTCAAATTCTCAAGTTCTTGTTCCTTTTCTTGTTTTGTGTTTTTATCGAGTTGATTTCTCAATCAATTAGCTTTTTTGTAATTGAAACCTCCTCCTGTCCTCCACTTCCTTGCTTAAATGGGAAAAAGGGGAAAGAAAGAAAACTAGTTTGCTTTACATGATTAGGATAAACCATTTTGCTCTGAGGATCTGCAGACCATCTGTGTCTGAGAACTTCATCCCAAGCCAAAGACTTTTGTAGGCTGGGTTCAATCCAGCCAAGCCCTTAAGGCTGGCACAGATGTCCATTAACATAGAATGGGTTTTGATATACTGATAATCATGCAGTTATGGCCCTTACGGTCAGCTCAAGGGATAGCCTTTTGGTATAGTCTTTTGGATCCATAAATGCCCCTCTTGCCCCTGTCCTTGGACAAGTTTTACTGAGGGCTAGGAGAAAGCCAATAGAGGTTTTCTGAAGCGACAGTTCTCTGGTACAGAGGCACCCCTTAAATGGTTTTGTTGGTCTTAGTTTAATCACAAGCTCATTGTGTATTGCTTGTGATTGTTACCGTAAAATCTCTACTATTGTGCTCAAGTCCTGAACTTTACATTGATAATTTAAAAAGTTTGCCAAGAGAAGGAAAAAAACAAATATAGTACCAGTTTGAAGCATACTACTCTGCACCCGGCTTTAACACAACTATTGTCTAGACTTTCAAGGTCAGTTTTGTAATTGTCGTTAAAGATATAAATGCCTCTAGTCATGCTCATGCGCTTAATTCATGACTGCATGAACAGGGAAAAAAATTCATGACTCCATGATTCTCTAATGCTGTATGTGATTATGCAGAAATGGGGATACATATGCTGGAGAATATTTTGCTGACAAGATGCATGGTTTTGGGGTCTATCGATTTGGAAATGGACACCGCTATGAAGGTGCCTGGCACGAGGGGAAAAGGCAAGGGCTTGGTCTGTACACTTTCATGTCTGGGGAGACTCAATCGGGTCATTGGCAAAATGGGGTTCTCAATATTTCGAGCTCTCAAGACACCCTTCCTGAATCTCCCTTCACAGTTGACCATGCCAAAGTTCTTCACGCAGTCCAGGTAACTGAATTTATTGCCTTCATTGTGAAAGGATTTTTCTTGTTGCATTTTTCCCATCCCTTTATCAAGTCTTGAATACTGGTTCTAAGAATGCACATGGCCTAATTGACTGGAAAAGGAGTCGCTCTTGAAAAAGGGGGTTCGGCGTTGAAATGAAATTGTCGTAACTCTTGACATTTTTGGTGGTGTTTGTTTTTGTATTTTTCAAGAGAGGGAAACCATGGAAGTCAAATAAACTGAAACCTAGATTACTGGACTAGGTTATGATGCGCTGTCAGCAATTATGCTTTTGTGGCCTCTAGAGCTGCAAACCTACTGCCTACAAAGTCTCATAAAGTGCATAGCTTGCTCGTTTTTCCTTCATTCAATCCACAACAAATCGAATGAAACTTGGCGAAAAAGGAGTGAACACTTTCTGAGGAATGAAGCTTCATGTTTGTTTTTCTTCAAACCCCCAATCTGCTCTCGCTCACTTATAGTAGCAACAAAATTGAACTCACCAAAACAAAGGACAGCGCTTTGAAGGAAAGATGAATTAGCCGACTTTAATGGTTCTTCGCCAATCCCTCTTTTAGCTATGCCCAGGGTTGGAGAAAGCATCTAATTCCCTGAGGGGGGAACATAGATGTAATGGGAACGTAAATCATTACATCCTAAAGCCAGGAAGAGAGCACTCGTGGAGTTCAACCACCGCTGAAAGCCTTAGCTTGTGTGACTTCTGCTCCATATATTAGAGTCAAGCTGTGAACAACTAAGGAAAAAAAGACACATTGGGATGTCGGGGTCTAACTTCTCCACTGTCATCCAATTTCTTCCTTTGGCTTGAAGCCTTTACTGGTCGATCACCTACATAGAATCAGATTGCTGATAGAACTTCGTAGATCTTGTTCGTCAGTCGGTCATACAAATTTGGTTAACATAAAAATTCTACAAAAATTATATAGCTGGGAGGGAGATGAGTTCCATCAACTAGTTCAGATCATAAGCTTTAGCATCTTTAAACTTTTGAGCTTTAGCATTTGTTTGCTCTTGGTCTTGGACTTTCAGAATGATTTCATACCATCAACATCAAAATACTAACATTTATTTTGGCTGAGCTTAAGGTGCTTCTTATATTTGCCAGCATCACTTGCCACCTTAACCATTAAACAGTTACTGGTGTTAGTTTTTTACTGTTGCTGCCTTGCTATCAGGAAGCACGGCGAGCTGCCAAGAAAGCAGTTGACGTGGCAAAGGTGGATGAAAGGGTGAAGAGAGCTGTAGCAGCAGCAAACAAATCAGCCAATGCAGCAAGAGTTGCAGCGGTGAAGGCTGTCCAAAGCCAAATGTATCACAAAGATAATAATGGCGATTTACCCATACCAATTGACTGATCCTCTAAAGCAAAAGGAATACAAGCTACAAACGAGAACCTATTTCAGTTTTATGTGTTGCTTCTTTTTTTTTTAGGTTAGTTTTCTTTTTTGCTTCTTTATTTCTTTTTCTTGTCAAAGAGATGATGCAACTGCAAGGTACACCTGCTTGGAACCCCATTCAGTTCCAGAAAATGGCTGATTGAGGAGCAAGATGGGTTCTCTTCTTTGTACTTAAATTATATGTACATTTTTTAGGAATTAATGTATAGTGTGAGTGAAGGATAGCACTGAAATGCTCGAGGTTAGTGCAGGTTTTGTATGTACTTGTTTTCCCTCCACCTGTAAGTGTAATTACTAGTCATTTTTTCTTACTTGTGCCTGAAAGAAATTGGCAAAGTTATTGTTGTATTGGACCGAAGAATGCCTTTGTTCAATAGTTCTCAAGGCTGTTATGAATGAATGTGCTGGCTAGGGTTCGTAGATTATTACTACCATCATCAAAACAGCTGCAGATTTACATTTCTCAAGGTCATACCAAATGCTTTCACAGTAGTAAAGCTTTCATGGCTACTGGATTGAAATATACCTTTTCCAGTCTTCCACCCGAACACTGTTCAAAAAACCTTACCTACGAAAAATTGTGCTCGCAGGGAGTAAGGGGATCCCAGTTGCTACACCATAGGCACAAATTCATTTGACATGTTACTGATTTCGAATGGTAACAAATCTGATCCAAGCACCCTTTGAGACGTAAATCTAAGAAACATTACTAGCAGAATGGTAGCAGCTTCAACACTTCACATTCCTAGAAGAGATGCAATTCACAGAAGGGAGGTTTTGTTCGTGCAAAGATACCATCATAAACATTACAATGTGCATTAATATAGTGATCATAAACATAGCAATGCATCAGCAAAAGATGCTGACATTGGGATGATTTGAGTGGGATGATTTGAGTGGCAAGTTTTATATACCCGAATTTTAAAAAAAATTAGGTGGAGATAACCGCAAAGCTGTTCTAGCTTTCCCCTCCATTTCAAGGGACATGAAGCTACAAGATGAATATTCCAGCTGCCATACAGAATCAAGAAACCAATTCAAGCAATTACAGAATCAAGAAACTCTGGCCAAAAATCGTAATTAGTGAAGTTCCTGTTATAAGGTGAAATCAAGAACCCACCTTTGAAGACATACCATGCACAATAACTTCAAGTTATATCACAGACAATAAAAAGAACAAAAGTAGCAGCTGATAAACCAAAAATCAAAGCAATTACAAATTCGTATCACACATGAGAGAATTGTAATAATTGTTTCAAACGACGACTCTGGTCCAACAATTTCCATTGTGTCCCAACTATAATAAGTGATTCTTCAAAATTCTTAAATGATACTGAAAGTAGCCAAAGTCTAATTTCAACACTTAGTAAACATGTATCAAAATCAACATATGAAGGACCACTGCCAGCTCAACTCTCAGTTTGCTCCCTCAGCCTCCGAATGGTGCTCCTAACTGTCACAGCACTAGCAGTGCTATTGCATTGGTAAAAACAAAAAAGAAAAAGGCATTAGCAGCTTGCAAGAGAAAAGTGGAAAATAAGAATGTCTGATAGGATTATTACTTCAATGTATAAGCTCCGCCTGCTTTGACTTTGCCACAATCCTTGCAGCCCCAAATACCCACTGCCTTTCTCTTCACCGCATACTGCAAACAATACCGTCAAAAAAAAGAAGAAAATGCTCAGACTTCTTAGCAGCATCCACAACCTTTTTATATAGGGGCTACGTCATCTCATGAATGATGTGGATGGAGTCAAACTTGACCTAGAACAGGCCCTCCCCACCTATAATACCAATGAACTGAATAATCCAAACCTTTGTGAATAAGAAATGCTATACCTTTCCGCAAAATTCACAGAAGTACTTGCTATGCTGACTAACCTCCATCTTCTTAATCTGCTTTCGCAGACTAGCCCCATAACGGGTACCTGAAATCAGTAGCAAGTCAGGAATCAACAGTCTACACGCACAACCAAAGGGTGAAGCAACATTAAAAAGCACAGTAGAACTCACCATACTTCCCAACAATACCAGCCTTTTTCGTCCTCTTAGTCTGCATCGAAGCAAATGCATTAACATAAAACTCGATGAGAAAACACACATAGCTAGGAGAATACCTTTGCAACTCCCAGAGCATAACCTCATTCATGCCATTCTCACTATCTCACCAAAGGAGGACGGCATACATTACTTGATAGGTTAATAGATATTTTATAAAATTCCTATACAAATTCAAATAACAATCACTTGCTAGGTTAATATCCAATGAACTAAGCAAACAACGAACACTTCATTTATTATGAGCTTTCCACTCGTAATCCACAAATTCTGAACCATCATCATGAATCAAGTATGTCATCAATACTTCATCACCGAAAGAATAGCACAAATGCCTACACATTGCCAGCAGTTCGGTTCCTATGCTTTTATTAATAGACCGTTTTACACAAGAATGGGTATGCAGAGATCCCATCACGAACACCCACCAAATGTTCATCAGACATAATACATAAACAACACTAACAATGCACAATGCATTAATAAAATCTCTCTGACTGCCTTATCTATCGTTTTTCCCCATTTTACTTCTCTGATTTGGAGCAGGAAAACAAAATTGGTCAAATTCTCGTGTTAGCTTCGCACGAAAATAATTTCCCGAGCTAAAATTAGAAACAATGATCGCTTCCGTAAGCCCATTGGAGGTTTCAATAAAATGTTCCTTTTTTCAAAAGCATTTAGAGAAATTTTAAGTTGAGCTTCATATGCATCTTCCACGCAGAAATATCAAAATTAATGAGTATCATAGGAAATATATGACCTAAATCTCTCACAAAACAAGAATTTCACCCTTGATTTTTGCCTAAAATAAAAAAAAAATTTCTCAAGTTCTCATGTTGAATTCAAGCAATACAAAGCATTAAACATATATAAACTTTTACATATACATACATGCTTTTGTGTGTGTAGAGAGAGAGAGAGAGAGAGAGAGAGAGAGAGAGAGAGAGAGAGAGAGTACCATGGTTGGGCTCGCGAGAGTAGTGGATAAAAAGCGGCTGCGGGAATACAGACTATCAAAAACCCTAGCTCTCTGCTCCGGGCTATTTATAGCGTAGAAAACGCTAGCTTCGCGTCGATAGTGTTTGGATGGGCAGTGCTGCTGGACTTCAGATTTGACCCGCCAATTGTTCACTTCAGCCAAGACAAACCCGGATTCAACCCGTTTAATTGATAATAGCAAAAGTTTTTTTTTTGGTCAGATAATAACAAATAAGTTAAAGAGTTATTTAACAAATCTAATTTAGACATGTAATATAAAATCTCAAGTACCTAAAACATCTAATCCACTCTTAAAGAATTGCAAAAAAAGACTTATTATGCATCTGATAAGTCTTGTTAAGAAACTTGTACGAACTTTAGTCATTTTTTTTTGTCAGAGCACGAACTCGATTTAACTGTTCTAATATTTGATTATGTTGTTCTATATGCAAAATGATTTTATATTATGCATACAAATATAATCATGTATGTCCTTTATAATTGGTCGCTTTGGCACTTTTTTGGTGCCCTAGAACTTACGCAAGTTCATGTATAACTCTCTACAAACTAAAGTTCGATATAGAGTACATCATAATCAAGTGTATAGTTTATAATGAATCTATCTTCATTTGACAAGAAGTTAATTATCTTTTACATTTTAAACCAGACAACTTTACATCAAGCTGTGAAGCATTTATACATCCACAAGACTATAATATATGTATCAAATATGTCTCAAACACGAATATGCATCAAATACGGATGGATAAGTATTAAATCGACACAACCAACTACATCTCAAATGTTCTAAAAATATCCTTGACACCTTGAGTATATGTCGATTATAAATGATTGGCATGTTTCGGACATGCAAGGATTCATTAGGACTAAATATAGTATAATTTAAAGAATGGGTCATTGAAGTAACTCAAATAAGTTTTTTTGTAAAATAAAAATATCTCAAAACAACTAATATATTTCCAGTTTTGTTTGCTGAGCAAGAGCCTTTTGTAACATATCATTGCCCTCCAATCTAAAATTTTACCCATTTAGAAATTGAAAACAAGATACCAACTTGAATACAATAACAGTTGGTCATATATTTGACGTTTTGGAAGAGTTTTGCTTGAACAATAAAGTTTATATTATTTTTGTCAATTAGGTGAAAATTTTTAATTTCAAAATAATAAACATTTACGCAGACAAAAGTATTTATATCATCACATATAGTATACATAATATAAACCATACTTATTTGGCGCATCTTATTATAGCTATATTTTACTTTTCATATATTACCGTAGTGTCACAACCATATTAAATTATATCAGTATCCCATAGGCCATTAAACCTAGTTAGTTAAATCATACATAATGTGTCTTTTCCCTCTGCATAAGAATTGATTTAGACCTTATCAATTGTAGAGACGACTTGACTTAGCTGCATCAATGACTTTGCCAAATTAAGAAAAAAAAATGTAATATTTTCCAAGCAACAATGAAGGAAGAATTGTGTAGGCCTTGAGTCCTCTTGTATGATACCACCATTGTCCCATTTTCTTGCTTCTCTAAGAGTCTAAGATAACAAGACATAATCAACATTTCATTTCTTCACCTTCATGTAAATGTTCAAATTTCGTGGATATTAAAAGGACTAAAAGTGTACTTACTCAAATGACGTTACAAGATATTTTTACACATCTATTATCGATTTTCAACAATTTAAGCTCAAACTGACAATATTATATACCAAGGTGACACAACAAAAAATAGAATAGGTACCAAAATGAGACATAATATATAGTTTAAGAACTAAAAGTACAATTTTTCCTTTTGCAATAGATATTTCAAGACTTTAAGGCATAATCACGACACATGGACAATTAAAAAGGAAAGGAAGACCGGGATAGAAACCAATCGTTTTGGACCTCATGGAAGATTATTACTGGTCTTCTTCCACATCTAGAAGCTTGTTTGACAAGAATATTTGTGGCTCCTAAAAAGGCCTGAGCCACTGGTATTATCAAAGAAATTATTTATTTTGAAAGAAATAAATTACCTCAGATGAATCCATCTTCCATTTCTATGATTAAACATAAGCTTGGTAATTTTGAGCACAATCTGCGAGACCACTACGAAATTGACTCATTTGTATTTGATCTTAACAGCTTTTAATGGATCTTAGCGGATCCATTAAAACCATCAAACAAATGGTTCATCACGAACTCAAACAAGTACGACATAAACCTATTAAACACAGTTTATACAAACCACGTACTCAATATAACACTAATCTGACTATACATGGTTATAAATGAGTTGGGTATGAGTTAAATAAATTTTGATATAAAATGAACACAACACAATACATTGACCGGTTAAAAAGGCCGCACACCTAAACAAAATTTTTTGGTTGAGCTAGAAAGGCATAAGTCACAGGAATGACTTAACTTAGAGTCGGATCTAAAAAAATAAGAGGGACTATTTTGTCGCATGCAGAAACTATATATATTAACAAGAATAACGTTTCACGCGGGTTCACTTCCAAGTTTTCTAAAGGGTAATTATGCTTTGCATTTTTAACCAATGATATTGATATCACTTCGTCCATTTCACTATTAAGTTTTTCACATGTCGACTATCAATTTTTCAGATATTTAAACTCAAATAAAACATATTATTATATACTAAAGTGACACAACTAAAGAAATGGTTAAAGGTCTTCCTTACCTTTTCAGTCATATTCGCAACATGAACAATTGAAAAGGTGAGAAAGACTTTTAACCAGGGTAAAAACAAATCGTTTTTGGACCTCATTAAATATTGCCATAGTTTCTTGCGTCCATCTCCGTTAATCACTGTTGTTGGTCTTCTTTCACATCTATAAATTTGTGCGACAAGAACATTTGTGGCTCTTAAGAAGGCCTTTCAGTGCTGTTATCAACAAAAAAAATTATTTATTTTGAAAGAAATTGATTGCATTAAATGAATAAATCTCTCATTTCTGTAGTTAAAATTAAACCTGACAATTTTAAACACCATCGGCAAAGCCGATACCAAATCAGCATATTTAAGTTTAGTCTCAGCCTTTTTTGGGTATTATAAGGATGAATCCATCAGACCAATTAAATAAATGGATTGACATGAGTCTAATTAAACATGACGTGAATCTGTTAAACACGATTTATATTAGGAACTATCCCAATACAACACTAATTCGGCTATTCACACATACTATAAATACGTAAATATGAGTTGAATAAATTTTTTGTGTAATTTATCTATTTAATTTTAAATATTTACTTGAAGAAGAGATTGGTATAGATTTATATCGGGTATAAATTAAATATTTTTATCGTTGGAAAGATTTTTTGAGATTGGATTTGAAAGTAACCCTACAAACAAACGCGTACGTGGAGCCCAGTTGTTAAAATTACATCTTGCAGCGGTTTAAACGGCCGAATCATCGGTAAATATTTAAACCTCTCTCAGAAACCCCCTCCATAGCATAACGACGAAGCCTTTGAAATGAATAAAACCAAAAAAACCTAGATATTCATACAAAATTCATTCAAAACAGAAAAAATGTCTGTAAATAGCCATTACAGCTCATAGCTCTGTGTTCTCAAACGTGCACCTTTGGTTTTCGATCAGATCCAAGTTCATCAAGCCTGCATTGTTCGGATCTGATCGGAAAATTCAAAGTTTTTTTGGTTCATATCTTCGAATCTGGTTGAATCTTGTTATGTGATGATGTTTTGATATGTAAATGAGCTGGACATTGTTCGAATTTCAAATTCGTCCCGACATTGTTTGGATCGGATCGGAGAAAGTGAGGTGGTTGTGGTTTTTGATTTGAATTTTGAGGAGTTTTGGGGATTTGAAGATTGGCATTGTTGTAAACTTCGGTGGCAGATTGGGGATTATAGAGGATTTGGGAAGGAAAGTAAAGGCAAAGGCAATTCAGGTTGAGATTGGGAAATGGCTTCGTTATCTGCGATCAGCGAGGAGCTTGCGGAGATCGACGGACAAATCGCCGATATCTTCCGTGCTTTATCGTAAGCATTTTCACTTGTTATGTTTCGATTCACAGTAGTATTGATGTGTTCATATGTAAAAGATGTATGCCCATATCTACATCACGGATGATCACATATAGTAGGTTTTATATAGGTTTGACATTATTTTCTTATGATCTTTGACTTGTGTAATTGAGTGTCTCTACGAGAATGTATTAGATTCTGGAAACTAGAAAATAGACAGATTGTTGTTCTTTTAGTTTGCGAGATAGCAGTAGCTTGGTGAGATGGTGATTTACTTTTTGCAATGTGAATGTTCTATTTGTGCTTTGGGATTGATTGTACTGTTTGAAAACCATAATTTTTGGGGGTTGACAATGCAGTCAATTTATTTTGTTGCAGAAATGGGTTTCAGAAATTGGAGAAGATGAAGGACTCCAACAGACAGAGTAGGCAGTTGGAGGAGCTCACTGGAAAGATGCGTGAATGCAAGAGGTATTCTGACCAGTGTATATAACTATGTATGAGCTGCATTTCAAGCTATTTTGAGAAGTTAAAATTGAGGATGTTTTAGTGGCAGGAGCTACAAGTCGTGATTTTTTAAAGTAAAAAATTGTGAATTGTCCTATATAAAGAGCAACTTGTTTCTTTTCAATCAAATAAAGTTTATCATGAAATTCCTTTGCCACTAAAGTCCTGACCATATTAGTGAATGCCAGTCAAAATTTTCAGATTTTGGTTAAAATTATTTCTAAAGCTAATTTTACATTGATCTCTCTCTCTCTCTCTCTCTGTATATATATGTGTGTGTGTGTGTGTGGCAGGCTTATCAAGGAGTTCGATAGAGAAGCAAAGGATATGGAGTATCAAAATGACCCAGACACCAACAAGATGTTGAATGATAAAAAGCAATCAATGGTGGGTTTAGATTCCCATACTCTAGCTGTGATTAGATACTGAAAATCATTATTTTTGTTGTAATTACTGTTGAGCCATTTATTTGTAGGTCAAAGAGTTGAATTCATATGTCGCTCTTAAAAAACAGTAAGTTTCCTAAGCAGTTACTCTTTTCCAATTCATGAAGCTTGTGCTATTTTTTCTCTGTAAATTATAATATCTCCTGAATAAGATGATCTAGTAATAGATAGACAGACTAAAGTATGTTTCTACATTTTTACGTGTTTTTTGTTTCCTTATGTACTTATCACTGCTCATTCTTTTATTTTGATACCTGGTTGTTGATACATTTTTGTGGGTGGTGATCTAGATATGCAAGCAATCTTGAAACCAAGAGAGTTGATCTCTTTGATGGACCTGGGGAAGGGCTTGGTGAAGAAAATGTCTTGCTAGCTTCATGTAAGCATATGGTTTTTTTTTAGCAAGCAAAAATAATTTATTTTATTAACACTCTTTGGGGATTTGTATGCAATAAATGGGAATCATAATTGTTACTGTTCGAAATGTCTCCTGAAGTCGCATTGAGTTCTTATTCATCAGCGTATCAGTGTCATCTTGTCCTTCAGCAGTAGTATGTATCCTTGCTGCTATATTTCATACTTACTTATTACCATCATGAATGTTTGGATGTTGCTAAAAGTACTGACTTTGAAGAAAATAAAGACTGGTTCTGTTTCATCACTAATAGCCTGGTAGCAGTGAAAGATGAGTGTAAATGAGCGATGAGATGAGACACTTGAGGGAAAGCAATACCTGATAGCGGAGGAAATGACTCTTTTTGCTAATGGGAGAAGGGAGTTTGGTTCTATATGAAGATGTCGGGCATGTTTTGGTAACTGGATCGCATATGCAGTGAAGGATGGGAGAGGATAAGGGGGCAACTAGCAATTTTATGCACTGCTTCAAAATATGGAGATGGGCACGCATCATGCACTCACATATTTGCCCTTGAATATTTTGTGATTTCTGCAGAAAGATTGAGAAAAAAGGTGGCCTTTAGACTTACATGGCTGTGGGTTAGTGTAGGCAAATAATCTCAGAACTTACGGAAAAAAGAAGGTGAGGATGATAGGCATGAGTTCAAGAACTTGACTCGAAACCTTTTTGATGTATTGAAGGGGTACAAATGAGATAAAAGAAATATCAGGATCCTCAACTGTTTTGGTGTGCATATGTCTTACTTTTACAACTTCCATTGAAAATCACAAAAAAATTGAGACATGGTTTGTACTTAGTTCTCCGACTTTCATTCATCTTCAGGATTGGATATATTTCTAGATTCTTTTGAGTGAAATGAGATAAAAGAACTATCAGGATCCTCAACTGTTTAGGGGTGCATATGTCATACTTCTACAACTTCCATTGAAAATCACAATAAAATTGAGGACTTAGTTCTCCGATTTTCGTTCGTCTTCACGTAGATTTTCCAAAAGTATATCTGCTGTTCTGTGCTCTTGTATGTGTTTCTGGGTAATACTGATGGCAGCTGTATAATAAGAGTGAAGCCCTTTCAGATGTAACAATAGCTTCGACACCTCATGTCAGTTGAGTTGCATCTGACATAGCAAACAACCTTACATGTTAGCTGCAGTTTTGTTTAAACATTGACATTTGTAAAATTTCTGAGTGCTAGCATGTTTACATTGCAGCTATGACAAATCAGCAGCTAATGGATAAGGGAAATCACATGATGGACGAGACTGACCAGGCCATTGAGAGATCAAAAAAGGTTAGTACATTTTGGAAGAAGAAACATGATTTATTCCAGAGGATAATCTGCTATCGCTCCTGTTTGATAAGGATATATGAGCTATTTTTTCATCTATTCTTTCGGGGTACCTAATAAAATTCAATAATCATGAATGAGTACTTATTTCTTGGAATAAATTGTTTCCTTAGCATTATTATGATTCACAAATTAGCACTGATCTTTTATGGTGTTTAACCATGGGCTCTGGTCATTGTTGGTAAAATAGAATGAGCTGCTTCTGTAGCCGAATGAACATAAAATTAATAACGCCATCATAAATTGGGAAGTTGCTTTTCAATCTGAAAAATATAATTATTGGATCCTCTCTTTGTAATAGGTTGTTCACGACACAGTAAATGTTGGAACAGAGACTGCAGCAGCTCTCAAGGCACAGGTGTGTCATTTGATTGCTTTCAAAGATGGTTAAATTTCATTTGTGATTTACCAACATTTAAAATTGTTTGTTGAACTAAAGCGTCACATTCTTGTTATATATTCAGACTGAACAAATGAGTAGGATTGTTAATGAGCTGGACTCTATTCATTTCTCGATTAAGAAGGCTTCTCAGCTGGTCAAGGAAATTGGTAGGCAGGTCAATCTCTGCAATATGCTTACCCTTATCTCTTCAAATATGTACATCTGTACTTATATTTGTAGGTGTCTGTGTACATGTGTGTATGAAGTTGTTATTTCTTGTTACTCACTTGGATTCCTGAATTAGGTTGCTACTGATCGGTGCATTATGGCCTTTCTCTTCCTTATTGTTATCGGTGTCATAGCTATCATTATTGTTAAGGTTAGGCTGTTAGCTTTTCCTTTCCCTCTATTGCTTATTATTATTTAAACTAAATAAGATATAATTTCTGTTCTACCAATTTGTTTGATAGCCCTGGTATTTATTCAAATATCACGTTTTGTCAAACTTTTTGGAGCGTTTGTGTTGTCATCGACTCATGAAGCACTTTGCTATGTCAATTGTTAGTCGTTTAGTTTGTAGATGTATATATAAAGACTGCTATTTTTGGTTTCTTCAACTTTCAGCTTGTAAATCCACATAACAAAGACATTCGGGATATTCCTGGATTTGCCCCTCCTGCTCCTAGTAGAAAGTTGCTTTGGAGTCCTAATTGAGGAATGCTACAAGCAGACATTGCAGAATGCTATCAGATATGCTATTTGGTTGGATGGAGTATTAGCTTAGCATGCAGTGCTCTTGGAGGCACCCTACTTTGATGAAGCCTGATCTGGTATGAAGGAGTGTATTTAATGGACAGAATGGTTTGCTGAACCCATCTGAGTTGCGTAGTTTTGCAAGTTAGTCTCTGATATGGCTTTGCTTGTCTATTTGAGTTGCTTCGATTGGGAAATGTTTGTATGTTTATTTTTTTCAAAAATTATGAGCGAGGGAACGATTTGCATTTGAGTGCAGAAATTCTGAGATACTTACACTCATGATCGTATTTGTTCATACTCAATATTGTATAATCATACCAGCATTTGAGTGCGGAAAAATGTGTTTGATATATAGGTTTAGATGAAGGTACATTCTGAGATAAATTTTCCATTTCGAAAAAAACGCAAGGCTAAACTTTCCGTGGGATATTCTATTTTTAGTCTAATACATTCCAATGCTCCAGCAACCAAACACGAATCCAGTCTATCCTAATACAATCCAATTAGGGCTGATAATTGAATTAAGTCATTCGACTTCAGCTCGTTCAGAATCAGTTTAAACGAGTCAAACTTTAATAATTTTTTACGTTCGTTTAGAAAATAAGGTCAACAAATTCGGCATAAACTTAATAGGTTTGATTCGTTTATGGTTAAATATATATATTTTTTTTTTCATCCCCAAGACCCGATTCTCCATTTTTATCCCGAAATAATGAATTGAGTTCGTATAGGCATTTTGGACGCTGCTATTGAAATAGCCAGTGGGTTTGATTCGTTTAAACTCAGTTTGTTTTTTAATCGAATCGAACTTGAATATTTTTTTAAGTTCATTTAAAAAAATGAGCTCGACACGTTCGACTTTAAACTTATTTGGACTTGTTCGATTATCAGCTCTAAATTGATAAATTCAGTTTATCACGGGCGTTCTAAAAGGTCAAAAAAGAAAAAGAAAAAAAAAAGGAAAGGACAATAAAAATAAAGAAAAGAAAGGATCGAGTAAAGTTGAAGATTTTGTTTCAATTTAACTATAAATACTCTCACTAGGAAAATTGGGTCTCATAAGGGCCATAAAAATTCTCCCAAATTTCAAATATAACCAATGAAAAATATTGAATACATGGAGTGGCAATTATAAACTTTTGTTCAAAAAAAGTTATTGGTAAAAACTGGACAAATGCTGTGGCTTGCTTTTACTATATCCGTACAAGAAAAAAAATATTAGATGTAACTGTCCACTAATAAGATAACACGTAAATTCCATATGAGGTAGTTATTGAATGACATAGATAGATAATTATTTAAATATGTGGAATTTATTTGTCCACATGTTATCTTATCATTAGACTATTAAACCATGTCAGCATGATGACACGGCGTACGATTACACCCAATATTTTTTCACGGACAAGGGACTACTAATTACTTTTTATTTTTTAATTTATTAGAACCAAGAAATCATCTCAATTACGTTATTTTTTTTTAAACTAAATGGTGTAACAAAAACTCTTCGATTTTCGTAATGAGAAATACTAAATGAACTTAAAATATTCAAATAATTTGATAACTTAATCAATCACAATCACTAAATAAATTAATGGGTCTCGTATCTAATTATTCGTACAATACACGCATAAGTTTAAATTCGAGTTTGTATTGACAATGATACTTTTCATCTCTTTTTCAACCATTGAATCAATCGGTACGCTCAACTTTGAAGTTTACAGCGACGTTTGATGGGAAAGAAGAGAAGTTTTCAAAGTAAAACGAAAGGGACTACTGACATGAATGAAGTTGACGGTAACTGTTAGTGTCGTCTGAACTATGAAAACTTTTGGAGACGCGTATCTTGGCTCTTCTTTTGGGTCAAACGCGTTAGAACCGGAAGTCTAGTCCTGAATCATACCTCTTTTAAGATTCTCTTTTACTTTTGTGTGATTATCAAACAATGTTATCGCCTTTCTTCTAATTTGGTAATTGTAGATTTAAATTTCCGACCCCATTGTGGGTTTGGGGGCTGATAGAGAGAGAAAAAGGATTATCAAAAAAGATTTATTTCACAGAAATAACGAGATTTGTTACTTAATTTTGATAGTGATTAGATAACGGATTATTCCTTTAATATAATAACTATAATTTAAACTAAACATTTTACCATAAAGACCATCCTCATCGGGCCGAGGGTACCTCCCTCTTAATTCTCGCTCTAAAAAAAAAAAAAAGATTGCTTTACGATTTTGTCGTATTACCACTTCATTGGTTGCTTTCACCCAAAAGTGGCCCCACTGACTCCATCATCTCCTCTTTTTGTGGGACAAGCAGCCTATTTTTATTATTATTATTTTTAATGAAATATCATCTCAATCCGAAGCCTTTAGACATGTAATTAAAATGTAAATTTTTTATTTTCCTTGATAGATTATCTACTGTAATTTTAAACGTGACTTGCTGTATATAAGTGAGATGATTTAATAAGAGAAATTAGATAAAAGACAACTTAGGGAGAGTCGAAATTTCGATTGTAGGTATGTATAGTCAATTTGTTAAATCAGTCACATCCAATAAGGCGAGACAAGACTCCTGTAAATCTAAATATGTCTAAAAATTTGGTTAATAATTGAGTCGTATTTGTTGAATTTATTTTTTAAAATTATCATAAAAAATTATTTAAACTCGATTCATTTAAAAAAGAAATCGAGCCCAAACCGAGTTCAAAACGAACCGAACCTGAGTAACTTGACTATTTTACACATAACGACCCGAGTTTTGTAAGTTCAAGTTGAACTTTTTTCTAGGGGTGCAACTTGAGCAGACTAATTTGAATTCAACTCAAGCCCAACTCGAAAAAAACAGGACTTGAATTATAATTTTTAATATTTAAGTTGGGCCTGGGCCAAAAAATCCTAATTTAAATTGAATTTAGACAAGTCTTGGGTTGTCGGGTTTAACCCGAATATTAAAATCGAGTTGAATCCGAATATACATAAAATATATAAATATATTTAACTAGGGTTAATATTTATCTTCACTTTTTAAAGTTCAGATTTTCAATTCACTTCAAGTCTTCACCCTTGCGCCTTTATTACTCTCAGATTCTTCTCTCACTCGTCTCTCCTCATTCTCTCTTCATCTGCGCATCGCCCATCATCTCATATCACTTGAAAAATTCAAATCTACAATTCAAAAAATCAATTTGAATTAAGTAACCCAAGTTCAATTCGATTTTTAACTCAAAATTAACTCGAATTCAACCCAAACTCGCCCGAATTAAACTCGAGTTAAAGTAGAGTTAGATTTAGGGTTAGAGTTGAAGATTATATACCTAGGATTGAGATAGAGTTAACCTCTTAACCTGCTCTAGTTGCACCCCAACTCTTTTCAGGCTCATTTTCTAAACGAGTCTAACAAATTGTTCAAGTTCGATTCTTTTAGAACATGAGTCGAGTCCTATTCAAACTGAATCCGAATAGCTCGGCTCAATTATTTATCCTACCAATAACTCATATATTCCACAAATTGTATTTAACCAAAACCTTTTTTACAAAACTCGGATGGCAATAGAAACCTCTTTTACAAACCTCAACAAGTGGTCAATTGAAAAAAAACCTCACCCCCTAACCCCACTTCAAAACCCACCAGTCAACTCCACCTAAATCCACCGCCAATAACCACCAAAACCCACTAGCCAACACCACCTAAAACCACCATCCAACCTCACTGCAAAAGAGAGAGAGCGGCAAGAGGCGAGAGATGAAATTGCAAAATAGAGATATTCGAAGAAAGAGAAAGAAAGTTGAGGTCTTTAAATATGTACCAAAAAAATATCTTTTGTTTGCTATTAACATGGCTCCGAGGTTGGACCTCATTAAAGTCCTATCAGCGTCTCCTGCGTGACTTCATTTTAGATTTTTTTAAAAATATATTTTGAATGTTTCTATATTTTGTCTTTGATTTTAAAATGGAGCAGCAAAAATAAAAATAAAAATCATCAAAGTATTTTTTTTTAATTATTTTCCAAAAAAAAAAAATTCCTTTTACCAAACGCAACCTAAACTTTCCCTGGGATTCCCCATTTTTAGTCTAATACGAATTCTCCAGCAAACAAACATGAATCCAGTTCATCCTAATCCAATCCAATTCAATCTATGTTGGCGTGTTCTAAAAAGTCAAAAAAGGAAAAAGAAAAAGAAAAGGAAAAGGAAAAGGAAAAGGACATAGACTTTTGTTCAAAAAAAAAAGTTAATGGCAAAAACTTGATAAATACTGTGGCTTGTTTTTTACAATATCCGTACAAGGGGCCAATAACTTTTTTTTTTTTTTTAATTTCTTAAAAAGGAAAAATTATCTCAATTACATTTTTAAAAAAAATTAATGGCTTTAACAACAGCTCTGAAATATATGTATTTATCCGTACAATACGTGCACAAGTTTAGACTCGAGTTTGTATTCACAATGAGACTTGAATCCAATTCGTATGTCTCATCTCGTGTTTTTCCACTTAACCCACCTTTTACCGTGAAGCAATTGACATCGACGTTAATGTAGAAAAGAAGAGAAGCTTCGGTGAAGATTTTTTTTTGGTTGAACGGTCGGATTGTCTTTGTAAATTTGTACGCATTTTAATTAATTTTATTTCTGATCTTATTAAAGACAAGTTATCTACGTCGGGATTAAAATATTAATGCAAGATTAATTCTTCGTAATTTGACTTCAAAAAATTTTTAAAATTTAAATTTAAAATATTTAAATTTATAACCTGCCTTTTTATGCCATGATTCACCTTTTGGGTTGGCAAAAAAAAATTCAAAGTAAAACGAAAGGGTACACACCACAGCATGAAGACTATTGCGTCAAACGCGTTAGAATGGCTTTATGGTTTTGTCGAATTCCCACCTCTTCGGTCGTTTTCACCCAAAACTGGCTCCCACTGACTCTGTCATCTCCTCTTTTTTGTGGGATAGGCAGCCTATTATTATTATTATTATTTTTAATAAAAAAATCAACTAAATCAAAAGTCTTTATACATGTAATTAAAATGTAAATTTCAGGGAGTAAGATTCGCTATAAGATATAATTTTTAACTATTTTTTTCTTGATATATTATCTACTATAAGAGAAAATGGATAACAAAAAAAAAGGCATTAGAAATAATGGAAATTTCAGTTATAAGTATGTGTAGTCAATTTGTTAAAATTAAAAGTGTTCAAATTTTTGATTAGTCACAATTTTCTATCATACCCTACCCTACTGAACGGTTAGCCGTAAAAATCGGGTAGGAATGCAGAAGAATTTTTGGTCTTTTGATTAAATCGGGTAGGAATGCAGAATACCCATCAATTTCCGCATCATACCCTACCTTACCCGTAAAAAATATATGTAACTTTTTTATATTTTTTTTAGTAATTATAAGAGTATTTGTGTAGTATAATTTATATTATACATTAACATTGTTATGAATGTTTGAGTTGCTAAAATATGAACTTATTTTTTGTGTAGGTTACATGATTTATGGTAAATTAGTGATCTATTGAAACTGTTATAATTTTAATGTATTTCATATTATTTAAATTTAAAATAATTGTTATTGTATTTGTGTAACAATTATTATGGATTGATGTTCACGCTCTCCTGTGTTTTATTATAATTGTTGTTGTAGTTATTTTAGATTTTAGTGTTATTGATTTATTATGTTGTTAAATTGGTGCATGTTATTTAATTGAATTGTTAAAATGATCCAAAAATTAATAGTTACAAAAGTGTTTACACAACTTTCTACTCGATTAATCGAGTAGGAAGTTGAGTAGGAATACCACACCTGATCGGGTAGGGGAGGATATGAAAAAATTCTTCCGCAAATTATCGGGTAGGAAGGTGAAAGATTATATTTTCTACCCGTAGGGTAGGGTGAACACCCCTAGTTAAAACCATGCACATTCAATAAAGCGCGTAAATTTGAATATGTTCAATAACCCATAAATTCTACTAATTGTATTTAACCAAAACGTCTTTTACCAAACTCGGATTTGAAACTTATGATCCGGAATATTCTGATTATAATGATGAATTTAGTTGATTTTGTACATTAAATTGGGATAAGTTATATATTTTATTTGTCACCCTGTTGCGGATTTAGACAAGGATCGCAATAGGAGTCAATACAAGTCTTCATGCCAATGCATTGAGGTTGACTAGAAATGAGAAACTGTGGATCGTAGAATAAATCAACCATGCATGTGTGAGGAGAAAAGAGAAGACATTCCCACTATTCAATGAATTGAATAATACCTCCCCCAATCCTCTTAAAATAATAATAAAACAAAAAAGAAGAGGGTGGAGGTTGGGGTGGGGGAGGAGAACATGAAATCAATCACCAAAATACTGCAATTTTTAAACAAAAACATCAAAGTACAACATTTTTAAATTTATTTAATAATCTATAACAGTTTTTTGAAAATGGAATTGTCTAATGTTTATTCTAATAATCCAAAAATAACGATACATTATAACCTCGTTTTACGTCTTCTGCTTAGATTCAGGTATGTATTACATCCTTTGTTTTTAGTTAATAACCTTGTATTTTAGTGTTATAAAATCTACTGTCACCTTCCCTCCTTTGTTGGCCATTATTAAATTTAACCTAATATTTTACTGTAGAAAAAAATCGACTATCACCTTCAAACAGTTTGTCATTAAAACCTCCGGCCACCTCTGTCGAGTCACAGTTCAACGTTGCGCTATCAAATTCATACTATAAGACTAAAGTTGAGAACCCCCCGGAAGGAGTGGTTCAACAAGGTACTTATCAAATTTCTCGCTTTGAAATTGAAAATTTAAATTTTAGAATTTATATTGAGAGGTGATAATTAATTGCTAAACTAATCTAATTTGATTCGTTCTTCAAAAAAAATAAAGAATACAATTAAGAACATCGTGAGTATACCGGTGAAAACCTATTAAAATAATTTCTAGACATTATCCATTGTTCTCACCACTTTTTTCTCTACAATAAAAAAAGATCAAAGTTGATAACGTATCGAAATTAGCAAAATGAGTACGAGAAAAGTGAACAAAAGCAAAGGAGAAAAGTGAACAAAAGCAGAGTCTTTTTCTTGGTCAGTTGGTATGCTTAGCTATTACGGTGAAGGAGTCATCATATTCATATGATTCATATCTGAATTTATCTCTTCGTTTGCTTTTTTGGGTTATTTACAGAGCAAGATCTTTTTTTTTTGACGGTGGGGTTTCTTATTTATCTCTGAATATCTTGTCGGTTCAGCTTCTGCGTTTCAGATTCAACCCATTTACGTCTAATTCCAAAGTGGGTTTTCTTGATTTACTCTCTTTCTCTCTCCATTTTTACTCGGTTCAGCTACTGTTACCAGTCTTTTCTCTCTTTACAGGTCTTCCACATTCTTTTCAAGCTATTGGACTTTCTGTTACTGTGTTCTCTTCTACTTTTTAAGGTCAATTCCAATCTGGGTTTTGGGTTTTTCTGTAGTCAATCCCTTCTTCTTCTTCATTTTCCACCTGGATCTTCGTTCCTGCCCTGTTTGGATCTTTTCTAAGCCTTCTGTTCCTCACACTTTCCTAATATATATTACATGAAGTGCAGACACAACTGATTCAATTTTGTTCTGAAAATACTTGTGTTTACTGCTACTTAATAGTTTCAAAAAATGAATTGTTTTTGCATACTCAAACGCAAGCCCGAGCCCCACAATTCTAATCTGTCACCCACATTGAAAATTCAAAGTAAATCGAATAATCCAGGAGCAAATGGAGCAACAAGGTCCGCAGGTTCAGTATCATCGCGAAGGGGCTTACCAGAATTGTACAACGAGAAAGAGCACAATTTGACAGTTTTCTCTTTCTTAGAGCTCAGAAATGCAACAAATAATTTCAACAGGTTGCTGAAGATTGGAGAAGGTGGTTTTGGGAGTGTATATAAGGGTGCAATTAGGCCTCCAGATGGGCAGGGTGACACTACTATAGTTGCCATTAAAAAGCTTAACAGAAATGGATTACAGGTATTATTAGCCCTTAAGTTTCTCTAATTTTTCTCTAACTCTTGGAATAATATTTGATTTTGTCCTGTTTGAGGGTGTAATTTGGTAAATGTTTATTTTTTATCTGGGTATGTGCCACTTTTCAGAGTGAAAATGGAGCCTTTGGTTGAAATGAACTGAACTTGAATCCAAAATGACATAGTACAAATCCGAGTACAAAGGAGCTTGTAGCTTTTCTCCTTTAGTGACTGTGAAATGTTTGGTGATCTTATGCTAAAAATATTTGGAATTTGGGTTTGGGATTTACATGTGCTTTGAATAATTCAAAAGACAGTTCTTAGCAAAGCACATATATTGAAACATTCGAAATTTCCTGGCATAGCTATGCAACATGATGAGGGTGAAATATGCAAGAAAAATAGAAAGGAATGCTGTGGCTGGGGTGGGTGAATCCTCATAGATATCAGGTGCCCACATATATAGAGTTAAAAGAGATATGGAATCCGAAGGGGAGGCGGGTTTTCTTTTTTCTGTTTGATAAATAGTTTGTCTACAGATTTGAACTATCGCCACCTGAAGCGGCAATTTTGTTTCTTTTCCAACGTCATGGATAGTGTCTCATTAGACACTACTTTATATCAATGAGGGTCAACTATTATGATGATAATATATTTTGTGGATATGACTGACCTTTTTCAGAGATGGAATTTTATCCTAGATTGCTAGGGAAATGGGAATAAATTGATCTCCGATACATGCAGTGTCCAAACATCCTGCCAATTTGTGAAATGGTTGACAAGTTAGACTTATTGCTCTATTCTGGTAGTCTATTAGACCTTAGTGTAGTTTTCTGGGATTCTTATTATGAGCTTCATACGTTGGATTAAAGGCACTTGTTTTGCAAAACAAACTTATATACTTCTTTGGGTCACTTGTATGTAGATTTGTTTTTGGTTTCTATGGTTATCATGTTTTGGGTCAAAATAACGTGGATTTGCTATCAATTGCAAGAATGAGCGTGACAGCCATGTGGAATTCAAGTTTCATCTTGGAAATGACCTCCATTAGAAAAGATATTGGTCTTTGGAAAAAAAAATTGAGTGATAACAACAGAATTACATAGCATATCTGAGAAGTTTTTATTGCTGCCCATAGCATGTAAAATGTATCTATTTAAGCACATGTGGGGGGGTTTATGTCATTTGCTTGGGCCTTTGAAAGACGTTTTTACTATCTACCTTTTCTTCAATTTCTTTTATGAGTAAAAATTTTTCATGCCCTGCCTCTGGCAAAGCATACCCATAGTAAATTCACATTATGGTTGTCTTTATTTGAGTTCATGAGTCTGTTTGAATTTAACTACACTGCTACACTATTTGCCACACAATACACACATTGGCCCTCCTTGTGCCTCAGTTGTCTATGAATGTGAGATCCTAATGTCCTGGTTAGTGGTTCAAGAACTGGTGTGGAGATGAGAGAGAAGAATAAGTAGCAATCTGCAGAGCAGAGTTGATTTCTGATGAAAGGAAGCCACATACTCCCAATTATCTTACTTAAAACCCATCCTGTAGTTACTTGCTCCCTTTTTGGTTTTTCTTTTAAGTAGTTGCTAATAGTTGTTATTGGTTGCCTTGGTTCTTCAAATTTTTAAACATTTCGTTCTTCTGTCATGTAGGGTCATAGACAATGGATTGCGGAAGTTCAATTTCTTGGTATTGTTGATCACCCAAGCCTCGTAAAACTTTTAGGATACTGCTCTGTAGATGGACAAAATGGGATCCAACGCCTGTTGGTATACGAATACATGCCCAATAAGAGCTTGGAAGAACATCTTTTCAACTGCTCTATGCCTACCCTTCCTTGGAAAACAAGATTAAATATAATCCTTGGAGCAGCTCAAGGAATGGCTTATCTGCACAAGGGATTGGAAATCCAGGTATGATCCATATTTAGTCCAGGTGTGGTGTGGGGTCTTTTAGACTCTGTTCTGACTATAGTCATTATAATGTCCATTTTAGATCAGCCTATGAGTCTATGATAGGTTTGGAGAAATGCGGTGTTCCGGAAAACAGCCAGCACTAGCATGACAGAAAAACAAAGTCTAGTCAGTTCATTGTTATTGGAAGTTTAATTTGTGTAGCCGAACACTTCTCTCAAGCACTCTCTGAAAATATCTTCCTTCTTTTTGGTCATGCAAGATGAAACAGAGATATTCAAATTGATTCTCATTGTAGTCGACTCATGTGAGACAGTGAGAGGTTCAAGTTTGTCTTTCTGTAGTGACATATCTCAGTAAATGGGCAAACCTTTGTCTGCACTATTGTTTTCGTGCTAAAACAATGACTTAGTCAGCATTCGGGAAAGCTTCTCAAACTGAGCTAAAAGAACTGTGTCTTAAAAGAAGTATACCAGCTGGTACCAAGATTAGAGCATATTAGGAAGTTAAAAACAAATAAGCACCATCAATTTCTTATTTAAGTCCTATGTTCCCTTACTGCCTTTGCCTTTGAAAATTGTAACTTTTTTGAGAACAATATACATGTGTACTTATTGTTGAACTGTTTTTTCCTGTCAAATTGGGAAGGTGATATATCGAGACTTCAAATCTTCAAATGTCCTCTTGGACAAAGACTTCAATCCGAAGCTTTCGGACTTTGGACTTGCAAGGGAAGGGCCAATAGGGGACCGGTCTCATGTATCTACTGAGGTAAGAAGACACTGCACGATAGAGTTTTATGGCATCTTTGGATACTCCATTAGCTAATTCTATTTCTTCTGCAACACATTTTAAGTAACGAACTATGTACATCTCTGCATTGATGCTTGATCCTTTTATTTTGCATTACTTTAAATTGGCGGCACTATTAAGTGAGCTATGATTCTAGTGTCTCCCATTCATAAGGAACTGTTATTGAACCGGTTGTCTCTTGTTCAAAAGTTTACCATATTTCTAAAGCTCAAAGGGAACTAACCAAATGGCTGTTGCAACTCTTTATTTCTTCATTAGATGTAGTGTGTTTATTCACTAGTTTGGTTCTATTCATAAGGAACTTCTGGGGTATGTTTTTGATTATTTTTATTGTTATCAGCCTATTGGGACTTATGGATATGCTGCCCCAGAGTATGTTGAAACTGGCCGTGTCTCGATCAGGAGTGACGTGTGGAGCTTTGGCGTTGTGCTTTATGAGATACTCACAGGGAGGCGGACTGTGGAAAGAAACAGGCCAACAATGGAGCAGAGACTTATAGATTGGGTGAAGCAGTTCCCAGCTGATGGCAAGAGGTTTAGCATGATAATCGATCCACGTCTCCGCAGCAAATATTCTTTGACCGCCGCCCGGAGAATCGCAAAGTTGGCTGATAGCTGCCTGAACAGGAATGCAAGAGATCGGCCAACGATGAGTGAGGTGGTGGAGAGCTTGATGCTAGCAATACAAGATTCTGATGAAGGAACTATTTCAGAAAAAGCAAAGTCCTGAGTCTTTCCTATGTGGAGAAAGGAGGGGAGTATGGGGTGTCAAGTTTGACAATATTGATTTATACAGATAATATATGAATTGAGTTAGTATTATATATAAATAACCAGTTTAACTAATATTGTAACAAAAAATGAATGATTCGATAGATACGAATTAATAAAAAATTTAAATATGAGTAAAATATTTTTTTTGAGACAAATTCACCCCGATCCAATCCTCTCATCCGCCGATACAGTTGACAAGTCTAATCAATTCATGCACATTAAACAAAGCCTCAAACTTTTCCCTCTATACTATTTGTTAATTACAAGATTAAGATTGGTCAATTGATGATGTCTCCGCTACTTGCAAAATCACCTAAAAAAATTTGGAACACAACAAATAGATCCCTTAATTTATGGGTATTATGAAATCAAAATTGTCCACTATTATTTACAGAAAAATCTTTAATATTATAAAAAATATTAAGAATTTATATAATACTAGTTATTATCTGTGTCTGAAGGCACAAAGTAATAAAAATAAATAAATAATAAACATGTTTGTATTTATATCCAAAATTAAATTACAAACATAAAAAAAAAGATAAAAGAATTTAAACATCAGTTTATAGTGGTGGTGGCGACAAGAGACGGTGATAGTTCTAGTGGGTGATAATAACTCTGGTGGCAATGGTAGTGTTGGCAGTGGCGATGGCGGCGACGACGGTGGTGGTGGAGGTGGCAACGGTGGTAGTGATGGTAGTGGCGACGACGGAGACAGCGGTAGTAGCGACAATGGTGGCAGCGATAGTAGCGTCGGTGGCAAAAGTGGGGGTTGGGGTGGTGGTGGTAAAGGTAGTGTTGAGGCGGTTTCAAACATTATTTTTTAAAAATATTTATGAGAAATAATTATTAAAAATACTTTTAAAAAGTCATTCCAAACACACCCTATTTTCTTATTAAAATTAGAGTGTTAATATTAGGCGTTAGATTAACTTTAAAGTAAAATTTAAAACGAACTCAACCGCGAATAACAAAAGTCATTTTGTTTATCTTTTGAGATTTGAATTGTAAACTACTTTATTATATAAACTAGTTTATTCCCTGTGTCTGAATGTACAGAGTAATAAAAAATGGTAAATAATATACATATTTGTATCCATATACAAAATCAAATCACAAATATAGAGAATAGATAAAAAAATTTAAACATCGATTTGTAGTGGGGGATAAGAAATTGTGGGCGGCAATGGTGGTGGCAGTGGTAGGAGTAGTGGTGACAACGACGGCGACGACGGCGGTAGTGGCGATGACGACGATGACTGTGGTGATGGTGGCGTTGGCGGCCAGGTGTGGTGGTGACGGCGGTGGTGGTAGAAGTAGTGGTGGGACAGTTTCAAATACTATTTTTTTAAAGTATTTATAAGAAATAATTTTTAAAAGTACTTTTAAAAAGTTACTCCAAACACACTTTTAGGAGCTTATTTTTTCTATTAAATTTAGGGTGTTAATATTAGTCGTTAGATTAATTTTAAAATAAAATTTGAAGCGATTTCAACCGCGAATAACAAAAATTATTTTGTTTATCTTTTGAGATTTGAATTGTAAGTTACTTTATTATATAGATGTTTACTATAAAAAAAAAATATACCCACCATGCAAAAATAGAAAAAAAATTTAAATCACAATGTTCTGTTAATGATTGATTACGCATGAATAATACTATCCAGGTCAAATTTACTAGCTAGATTTGTTGTTGAAAATCATTATTTCCATTGTGAGTTTTAATACTGGATATAACATGCTAGTAATACAACAATTAATTATATTGATAAATTTGCTAGATAAATTTAAGGGTTAATTGGAATTTGAACCTTAAAAAATCCATTGCTTTTTAATTTGCAGATTCAAAAATCGAAATTTGTAATTTTCACCCCCATTGTCATACATTTGTGTCTATGTGATCCTAACACAAACTATCATTCAGTTTTTCGTCTAAAAACAAAACACGTGAGTTATAGTTAAGCTCATCCCAATGCCACTCACAACTCACAGGCTTATGTTTCAGACGAAAAACTAAACAGTAGTTTGGTTTAGGATCAATTAAAGGGCTGTTTGATGATGTTTATGGTTTTTATTTTTTAAAAAACGAAAAATAGAATCAAAAAACGAAAAACGTCTTTTTCTCGTTTTTGAAAATCGTCCCTCATTTACAAAACAATGACAGAAAAAAAAAATAAAAACGGTTATCAAACAAGTTTTTTTTTCTTGTTTTCTCTAAATATCAAAATAAAAACGAAAAACGAAAAACATAAATTTATGATATTGGGGGTGCATAGTGAAAATCTTGATTAAAAGTGCAAATTGAGAATTGAATAATCGTTTAGGGTGTAAATTGTGATTAATTGTAAAGTTAATTAGAAAATTTATTCTAAGTTTTTTTTGGGTAAGGAAAAAAATTATTATAAGCCCGCCAGATGGGCCACAAGTCACCTCCCTCTCTCTCTCTCCCTCCCTCTCTCTCTCTCTCCACACGCATAGCTGAGTAATAGGAGTGGTGTAGAATGGAGAAAACCTTCACTCTCATACAGACAATCGCCACAGCAGGCGTCTTCTCTGCCGTTTCCTTCTGGCAATATCTCTCTCTTCAACTACGTCCTACAGACATTCAGTTTTTTCTTCAAGAATTAGGGTTTTGTTTTCTACTTCTGCTATGCACCAGTGATCTTTGAAAGGTCTTAATTTTTCGATTGAAATATGTATATAACTTACTCTTAACAGGTATGGTTTCATGTTCGGCAGAGAATCTGCTCGCAAGGAGCTTGGTGATTTGATCGAAAGTCTTCGCCGTGGCAATTCCGAACCCTCGTCTCCTTCTCCACATTCATAAATTGGTAATTTCCTTGCCCCTCTCTGTCTCTCTCTTCTTATATGCAAACACAAAGGTGAAATAGTACCGAACTTAGTATTCAAATGACTAGTTTATTATTGTTTTATTAGTTCTTGAAATCCATTTCTTGCGCCAATAGTGAAACTCGTTGCAATTTTAGGGGCAGTAGAACTGTCCCTACTGGCAGGTGGTCGTGGGTTCAAATCTCCTACCTACCTTTCTCCTCTATTGTGTGTGTGAGTGAGAATTATTTTAGGACATCGTAACCACTTTGTCACTTTCTTAAGTTGAAAAATAAGGTAATGGACAGCAGGAAATAATGGCAATATGACCAAGATCGAGTGGTTCATGGCATGAAAGATGGGTCTTGGAGCATGGAATTTACTCATTGAAATTGAATTAAACCTTTTGAGATTTGAACTGATTTCGTCTTCAATTTGTCTGGTGCAGCTGGCATTGTTCTTCAATCATGTGCTCAATTAGCTGAGTTTGGCTTTACTAGGATCAGCTTAGGTAATCTAGGACGCTTGCATACACACGCTTGTTCAAGTGCTAACACAAAAATTGCTATAGAAGTGAAAAATCCGAACAATGGTGTTTAGACTAGTCACAAGTCATAACCAGTTTATCGGTGCCTAAAAGGTTTAATAAAATAGGAACTCTTAGGACTTGTTTGGGCAGTAAGAAAGGAGCGCGGTTTTGGAATTAGATAGGGTACTGAAAAGCCAAAATTGGGACGATTTAGAGGCTGTGCAGAGTACTTGCAAAATATAATAATGGCCCATTTTGGAGTTTGAAGGTGCAAGTTTTGAATAATAATGTATAGGGAATTGAGACTGTTCGACACTTGTAGTTAATTCGCCTTTAGGCAGCACTGTTTCTTGCAATCATCTTTGTAAAAGAATGAATGGGAAGCAGGATCATCTGACTCTCCGGCTTCGAAGGTTTCTAGCTTGAGTGATTGAGTCAATAGTGTACATGAAGATTGGAGCTATACATAATGCTCTCCTTCCCTCTCTCTCCTCTCAAGGCACTCATGCATACGTTCAAATTTTTCTTTGTCCCTTATTGGACTATATCCTTTCCTAGATAATCCATGCTTCTCTGTGACTCTCTCTCTCTCTCTACACACACACACACACACACACACATTGAGATTGACTTTACTGAACTCGTAAAGTTGACGTTCAAAAACTTCTCTCTCGGCCCCCATCACACCAAACGCCTACACAGGGACTACAGCTCTTCACCTGATGAATGTTGTAACCACAAGGAATGCTCTGTGTGTGTGTGTGTGTGTTGCTATTATGGTTTTTTTGTTTGGTGGGGGAGTGGGGAGGTGTGATGTTTTGCAGACACTTAGTTTTCAATTTCTAGGTGGACAGCTAGAGTTCCACTCATAGTTCTTTGATTTATTAGATTTTATGATCTTGATTGTTCCTACTTAGATTATTCTAATCTTGATAATCTGTACTCAGATTAGAAGTTATTTTGGTCTCCTGATCTGAATGCTTTTGCAGGTGCTTGGGTTAAACATTGCAGCATCAAATGAGCTGAAAGAAATGGATTCTGATCCTTGATTCTCTGAGCCAAGAGTTGAATTCTGTTTCTCTAGCTATTTGGAAGACATTTGTCAAAATGTCTGTAAAAGCCTTAATTGGCAGTGTATGTTCAGGTTCTTGTTGCATTGTCATTGATCGAGTAGTAGATATCATGGAATGTGATAATTTGGAAAGTTGGGAATTGGTTTGGTCAATTTGATTTTATAATTTTCAAACCTAGCAATTCCAACCCCCCCCCCCAAAAAAAAAAAAAAAAATAAAAAATAAAATAAAATATTCAACTCAAGGTGGGGCTGTGATGGGGGTGAGGGGTTGGTTTTGCCTTTTGAGAAAGAAACATGCTTGTTCAATGAGAGATTCTAATAGACTGTTCATGCTGTTTATCTATAAGGCTTGGCCTAACATGTGGTTACTTTGTGAATTTATGACATCAATTAAGCTTCTTATTCTGTTTGTATCATGTTCCATTCTATTGGAGGGAATTGCTGACCGCGATGTTAGTTTCTGTATGCACAAATATTTACGAGTATTTGGACATCGTCCAAATATAATTACTATGTTGCATGTAGTGCCACTTAGGCTCGTGTGTGTGGCTGTACATAGAATGGGGTTTTGTTGCTTCAAGTAATGGTTGTATATCATCAAATAGCTCTTCTCCAGCACTTCACAACAGATTGTCTCATCGCACAATTCATCTTTCTGAAGTTGGAATTGGTTTGGACCCTGTCACCATTATGCTGCTTTGTGTTTGTAATATACCTTTTTATAGCTGATGCTTTTGTTTTGATTTGTAAAGGGGCAATTGGCTTTTTGAATTGAAATTGGGACATGCACTTTGGCAACGATATCTGGAGACAACCCATAGTCAATAATCACGATGAATAATATAGATTGGAATTCCAAAATGCTCTTTATTTCAATAAAGTATGAACAAAAGCGAAATGTACTTGTGCTAATCATTAACTCAAAATTCCATAGATCACCCCGAGCCCCAAAATAATGAGACTGTCAACTTCCTAAACAGGACAGTGAAAGGTAGCAGATTAAACTTTCTTCCATTGGTTGTAGAAATATAGAGAAAACTTTTATAGTTTTCTTGCCTTGAACATTGTTTTGACTTGGTGCATTATAACAAATGTACAGTATATAATGTATGCTATTTTTCTCCTTTTTACTTTTTATTTCTTTTTCAGTGCACTAGAATGTAGCAATTATTCAAAATATACATGAATATGCAGGTATATGTTTAAACAAGGGCAGCCTCCTTCTTCGCTTTAGTCTTTGTGACAAACCCTACATAAAGGTCTGTCCTGCTTGAGTCACTCTCTGGAAGTATTGTTTTCCGGCCACCTTCCGACATGCTTTTCACAAATTCCACCAACTGCCGCCAATTCTCTGGCTCAAACAACTGCTTATTCATTCGCAGGTATGTAAATGCACTCAATCCATTTCCAGAATCGGACCTACTTGTTGCCAATACTTGTGAATATGCTCCTGCATCATACCTCTCCAGTGCATTCTCTCCAGCAAGCTCTGTCCCAGCAGTCTTAGCTGCCCTCTTCACTTGCTGAACTAACCCTTCAGGTGAGCAATTCGCATGATCGGGTTGCTCTCTGTCTCTCATCTCCGTGCATGTGAAGTTAAAAACAACTCCATGTTTGCCCAACATTCGTGCTATCGGTAGGTAACCATCTCGATGTCTTGTGTTGTAGTATCCTGCTGTTAGTTCTGCTGCATGAGATCTTGATCTATAGTGCCAATGAATTCCGGCTACTTTTCCAGATAGTTTAGCTCCGGTTCCTTGGAATATGCTCTCTGCAGCTGCTAGGATTCTGTCTCCATGCTCTAATAGCTTCCCGGAATACCATTCTAGAAAAAACTGCCCATACTCGCTGTTCCATGTTCCATCCCTCCGAAAGAACCCGGTTTCTTCTGGGAACTGTTTGTACTGGCCAGAATCATGAGGTCCACTTTGCCCCCAGTCTTTCTTTCCCTTTGCCTCTGCTGATGCTGCCAATGAAGCCCTCATATACTGTTTCAATATAACAAGTTTATTATAAAAATACACAAGATTTATTGTCTTAAACTTTATGCTATTTTGTTTTTGATGATTTGAAAACATTTGATATTGATGTTAGTTTTTTATCAACAATAATGTGTTGCATAACCTGCAGAAAAAATGTGTTGCACATGGTTAATTTTTTAGAAGGGTAATTTTGATCAAATCTATTATCCGGGGTGAGGACTGTACTACACTTGGGATCTTAAATTTTTTGGAACCATCTTGAATCATATTTGAATTAGCGACTTAGGATTCAAATTGAATCTAACTTTAATTTCAACAGAGTTGTATAACATTGAATCAAGCACAAATTGAACTCAAGTTCATCTGACTTTAAAACTTTAACCATGAGTTGAAGTCAGCTTGAGGTTAAGAGGTTTACATCTTAAATTAAGACCATAATAACCCCTCAACCCACCCAATCCAACGCAGTCATATCCTATCCTAGGTCGGGCACTTTGTTCATTGATGGTGATATTTCTGTAAAACAGCATCGACAAACCATTTTTGAAATTAGTGGCCTCCGTGTACCAAAAAAAGTACATTTGAGTTGCAAATAGTTACCTTGTCGTAGCATTGAAATTCTCCAATTCCAGGAAACCTCCAAGTTCCATTGCTTTCTGGGTAGGATGGATATCTCAGCTCTCCACAAGGGCCCATCCCCACTTGAACCTCCTGTATTGAAAAATAGAATTTGAATTTCTAATACTTAAAGAAATTATTTATTTATCTATATGATACAAAAATGAAAGGAGAATATTTCTAACATGTGATATTTGAATAAGTATTGGTGGCCCACCATTTGGATTAGGTTATATTTTGAATATTCTGGACCCTAAGTGTCCACGTCATAGATATATTTTGTTTTCCAGTGCCATAGCAAATAATTAAAACCCTTCAATTGAAAGAAAAATTATCAAGATAGCATGACTTATCAATGAAAACATCAAGAACTTTGCATATCAAATCTGTTGTTATTGCCTAGTATCTGGTGAAAAAAGTTGGTAAAGATTTGACTCTGCAATATTTTTGTTCTAAATAAGAAAAATTCAGTCAAGAAATGTTATATAAGATGTATTGTTACCTCTATAACATCCCCCAGGTAATCCTTGAATCTTTCACTGAAGCTCCTCATGTAGTCGGAGTAGACCTGAACGGGTGTTCTTCCTCTGAGCACCGGTAATGAATCACAACCCAAGGAGATGTATTCAGGGTTCCTCCGGCCTGACCTGTCTGTGTAGACTAGATCAGGGTTCTTGCTGATTTCTTCAAGCACCCAAGGGGGTAGAGGGATGCTGCAAAAACAGGAACAAAATGTGCATTATGTTAACCATTCTGCTCTTTCTGAGGTCAGACTAATTCTGATACGACTTCTTTTCACTGAGTTAGGCTCTGTGTGTCTCTACTGGGGCATGTACTCAGCTGGATGTGCCTTGAATTATATCTTAGTGTCCTCTTTTATTGAATCAAAATAGAAGGGCTGGAAATCTTAGTGTAGAAATCTTGAAAATTAAAGACTACCCCAATTGATAAAAATTCTGCTATGAATATAGAAGATTTTTTGGGATGAGAGAGAGAGAGAAAGATATTATTAAATATTAACAATCCATATCTAGGTTTATTTCTCCCCAAGAACGTATTCTATGAAAAAAAAAAACCATCTATACCTGCAGGAGTCTCCAACATTCCCCCCACAGTGATGAAAAGACATGACAACTTGGAGCTTCAAGCCATGCTTTTGAACCATCTTCACAAGCTCAGCATACCCTTCCCAGTTGTATTTCAAAGGTCCATCTTTCTCCACCAAACCCCACCAAGCATCCACCATTACTCCTTCGACTCCAGCGCTTTTCAACGCCATCAAACTTGCATTCATTGCTCTCGGCTTGTTCAAGTTCCCACCAACTGATACTGTGTCCAGTGGCAGCATCACAAAGACAGGTACCTTTGAATCATTTTTACTATGAACAATTGATAAACCATGAAGCTTCTCTCTTTCCTCATTTCTCTCTCCTTCAAAAACTGAGGTTCTCTCACGTGACAGTTGAGCTTCTTGCATGGAATTCTTTGCCTGGAGACGGCACGATGGCCTGATTTGTGCAAAGCAAACCATGCCAGAGAAGTCGTTGGGAGTTTTCGCGGTATTTTTGTGTTTCAGATTAATGAAAGAAATGGAAGAACGAAGTGTGAAAGCCATTGTTTTTGGTTGTTGTAGAGGTAAGAGAGATTGTGAGAATGGATGAAGGGTGTGGTGGCTTATTTATAAAGTGAGCCTCATGTTTTGGATACAAAGTAGACAATTTTGGTGCCTTGGTGGGCTCTAGTATGAAAGGAAAAAGTGCAAAAAGTGCTAGTCATTTCTTTTGAACGCGGCTTCACTTTTTCTGAATCTTATCAATGGTGGGGACCGGAAAAAAAAAATAGCAACTTTTGATTTTATGGTTAGTTTAGTTTGGGAATATCTAATTTATTCCGGACAAGAGAGAGAGAGAGAGAGAGAGGGGTAACCTTTAGATTAATTTGTTAGCATGAAGTGTGTAGTTTTAAGAGTGGACAGTAAACTGGCTTATCGGACAGTAAACAATGAATACTATGCCTATAATTTTTTTGATCAACCCTCCTAGTTTGAATGAAAGAAATTTCAGTGCCACATTTTCTTGAGATCGAGAAATGGGTGTCGTTTCACTTGTTATATGTATCTACATGGGTTCAAAATAAGCGTGATTAAACTTTTCATTGGCCCAAAAAAAATTATACTTCATACTGAAAATGAAGCATTTCTAGAGAATATTCGAAGGTGATATAGCCCCTACTGATATTTTGAACGATAGTCGACTTTCCATGTGCACTGTACCTGTCCTAATCTGATTTCTTTCTTTTTTTGCGGGGGACTAAAATTCTCTCCTTTTTTTTTTTTCTGCTCTTTTACATCTCATCTACAGCTTCAATTCAGCATTTAGTAGTGAAAAAAATAATTGTAGTAGTAGTAAGCCTCAGTGAAAGCCGTTAAGAGCACATTTCATTTAGTACTGACATAACATATGTTAAAGAAGGGATGGAAACGACTTAGGATTCAAAATTCATTGCTCAAAATATTTTATTTAAAAAGTGAAATTTTTGCACTTCCAGTCACAGGAAAATGGAAAATGTTTATAGTTTATTTGGTTCCACCAAATTCTCAGTCATATCTGTTGCTATGATAACCCAATGGGTGGTTTCTTTTGCTACAACCCACCAAACCAAACCCCACAAACTCAAGAGCCAACTTCTTTTTGGTCTATTACAATCCAAGTCATTGCATATATGTGGATGGCATAATACTGATTTTTCATTTTTCTCTGATTTTGATTGGTTTAGGTCCTCCTTCAGGATAAGAATAATGCTGGAGGGTTTCTCTCTGTCTCTCCAAGAGGTAAAACATGTGGCTGTGACCAAGTCTGTACATTGATATGAATCGATGGTTTAGCTGCTCCATTGATTATCCAAACGAGTGTGATGATCATGTATGAATACTGTTTTGAAAGATACACAAGAAACTGAAATCGCCCATAAATTACAAGTACCAATAAACAGGCTAGAAAACTCAAACTCAAAACATACAGGTTTATGTTTTGTCTCTTGTTCGATTAATGCTGTGCAAACCAACCTTAGTTTTTATATTTGGTTAAGATGTTTTTTTCTCAAGTGTTGGAGTGCAGCTTAGCTGGTGCTGTACCAAGTATATATCTTAATCTTATGACATGGTCCTGAAACTTTAAACCTTGTGATATAAACATTAATCTATTTCATTAATCAGGGCACTGATAGCAGGAGGAATTTCCAAAAGCTGCTGATTTTAGGTCCCACCTCTCTGTGATCTACTGAGAAAAAGACAAACCGACCATTGCTCCTCAGTCAAGGTGCAGTTGGGAAATTGGACTTTTTATGATGCAGAAGTTTGGGTCAGTTGATCTGTTTGTCAGAGACTAAGTCTGTGTTTAAATCTCTGGCTGTTTGTTTATTTGAATTTCTCTCTCCTCGCTCTGTAGTAGCCATAAAATTTGGATACGTGGACCTATTATCAGCAGACATGTGGCATTTCGAGGAATAGATGACAATTTAACATCGTGAGATCACACCCTTCTTCGAGTAAAAGTGACCTTGCCCTTGAGGCATGAGCAGTGCTGTGGCTGTTTTGGAAGGACAAAGCTCGCCTCTCACCGCGAGGCTTACAGTGCAACACCACATGAGAATCACACCTTCATCTATGGAGCTGTAACGCCTGAAAATTCAATTTAGAAGACATTATTATCTATAATCATTTATATCATGAGAACAACTAATAAAATCTATGAATAATAGAAATTTTATTCATCATCTATAATTAATGACTAAAGCATCATCCAAAACAAAAGTCATCCCATGGCAATTACATTCAAAAAATAAATATTATCTTACAGTAGAATAAATAAAACATTGTCTCATAATTAATCTTCCAATCTAGAATATAAAGGAAACATCTCAAAACATTCATGTTGGGATCAACATTTTCATCAATCTGAATTTTTTAATTTACCTACTCATTTAATTCAAGCTCTTCCTCTAGATCGTAATTTGAAAATTTGTTTATAAGGGGTGAATACAAAGTTCTGTAGAAAAATCCTCCCAAGTTCGAATAAGATTTTGAAAACATATAAAATAGGTCGATCTCATTTTAAAAAAATATTATATATAATTTTTGAAATAAAACAGTGACAATTCATTAGTTCTCAAGTTTACGTAGTAACAATAAATAAAACGAAGAAGTAAAACCAACTTTCAAATAATAAACCATTATTATCATTGTATCTTAGGTATGTAGTAAGACTTATAATGAGAATACACACATTGAGAATGTTCTACTCTACACACACTCACCCAATTCTCGCAAGGATACACAACTTTAGGAAGGGTGTATACCGACGCATCGGCGGTGACAAATCTAACTCAGGAATAACATACTAGTCCTCAGTCTCGATACCCATGAGCGAACAGTAATTTGGTCCTCACAAGGTATCAACCCCATTACGAGTGGAAGAGAATCTTTAAATCCATTCGAAGTAAAAAATGTATCTACCCACTCTACGATATCTAGTCAACGGTCACTCATGTTCATCAAAAAATTCCCACGAGATACAATATCAAATCACAGGTAAACTAAGAAACGTAATTGTACATGTATTTTTTCAACAAAACAACTCAAGAAAATATGCAAGAGATCATCAATAAATATAATTTTATTGTTCAAATAAAATACTAGAGTTTTTTAAATCAAGAACAATGAAATATCAAGGGTAAAATCTATATTTCTTGAAAATTAGGGTTTTGATAACAAGAACAAGAGTTTTTATAGCTATCAAACGATAACTTTATTCAAGACATGATACGATTTACAAGAAAATCAAGAAATAATGATTTCATAACATACACACACACACACATATATATATATATATATATGATTTAGAATCAAAACATACATATTTATTAACCCTAACCTCAACGAACAAGTTTAGGAAGAAATCTCTACCTTTATTCATGAGATTTTAATCCTAATGTATTTTGTTTCGATTGCCACGCGTTAATCTTTCAAGATTCAGTCTGTTCTTCCTCCTTTTCTTCTCCTCAACTTTCCTAGGGTTCTTGGGGTTAAAAATATAGGTAAAGACTCTTTAAATCGCAACCCTAGGATGTTTTTAAGCTAAAAAATAGAGAATTTCCATGTGGGCGTGAGTAGCAGTTTACATCCAATTTTAAACTCAATTTTGACCTAGTTAGAGGTCAATTTACGAAATTTTCGTGAAATAAACTTTTGTAATCCTTGAACTCTAGTTTCTACTATAAAAATTTCAGTTCAATCAGACATTAGCGTAAAAAGTTATAACCAAAATACTAAGGTTATGTTATATTATTTTTTACCCAAACTCTCTCCAAAATAGTTTTTAACTCTAAAATACTTCTAAACTTCTAATACAATTCATATAACCTCTTCTAATGTTTTTCAACTTTCTGGATTCAACGGAAGCCTTATTTTGACATAAAAATATTTATAAAATTATTTTGTCACCCTTCTCAAATTTTAACATCTCCAAAACTCAATTTGTTTCGAAAGTCGAATGCGATTGAAACTTAAACTTCATAATCAATATTTTAACAATTATTCTAAGTTTTTATCATCATTTTATTCATTTTAGAAGAACTCTTAAGATAATATTATACTTATTTAATTTTAAAACACGTCTTACTGGAGCACAAGATCTTTGTTTATAAGATGAGCAACAACTGGAGGTACAAGGGCACCACCTGCCATATTGAAGTTAATTTGGTGCAATGACATAGTCCACCTCCCTTGTCGAAGAGAGGCTATACAAAGCTTTGTCTAAAAGGACAAGAGTGGTACCACAAGTATTGAGGATAACTTGGGGCAATGATATAGTCCACCTCTTACCACCGAAATGATAAATGGATCATTGTTCAAAAAGCCAAGAGTGGCACCGCAAGCATTTGGGGGCATTCTTGGCGCGACCTAACTAGTTAGCCTCCCTTGCCGTAGAAGTAAATGCGTACATCCGGGATCTTGTAGATAGCAAATAGTAAATCTCTAACAAATACTCGAGGGGGTACGCTCAAAATAAGACCCTTAAATAGAACTTGAAATTCATTTGATACCCATAGTGATTAAGTCAATGAATGGTATATTGTTGCTTGATTGGCCAAAGGAATCAAGAGGAGAGGTTCTCAACTTGAGACAAGGAAGTATAATCTTTCTCAAGGGAGAACTGAGCAGGAACAGACGAGCATTATTGTCAATCTCGGCCTTGGAAAGAGATTCGAAGGTTTAGTTTGTTCGAGCAAATTTTCCAGTGTATGACTCACTGTTCATTGCATTGTGCTTGACTAAAATTCAGAGAAATTCCTGAAATACAAGAGATTTGATGGTTTGGATCAACATATAGAATTGTGAGACAGGTGAATTGACGACTAGAGAATCCAAACCATGTAATGTTCCTAGAACAGGCATCTTGGTGTGTACTCAGAGGGGTTTTGCAAGCACGAGGGATTCGCGGTATGCATGACCTGGGGGCACCGCGACCATAAACCTCTTCCACAGTCATGACATTCCGCAAGAACCTAGTCTTTGAATTTTCTACCTCGATGACTGCCCCAGCCTCGAGGCCGAACCTCCTTCTTAAGGATCGAGTCAACATTGTATCTTGGAAATGACACATCTGCCTAAGTAATGCTTGGAGGACACTGGGCTCCCACTACATGAGCTTTGTACAAAAATAATCGCGATGGTTGCTGGTACAAACAGTTTTTACACAGAATGTTGATTCTATACAAGGCAACCGAGGACAATCTATATGGGCAAGCCGAATTGCCCAAATACTTATGCTATAAATATTTTTATTTTTTACCCCCATAGTACATTGAGATGTTTGAGAAATATTTGAGACCCATAGGCACCTTGGTCTAAAATAGATATGCGAGGGATGTAGCACGAGTAGGGCTACCCTCCATGCAGACGCGATCATCCGATTATGAGAGTGCATTCAGTTGTCTTCATCTTCTCGAGAATCTTTTTGCTCAAGGATTGGTCCCTTCATAACAAGTAACTCGAATTTTCTCATCTCAACCATTTTTCTTACTCATTTCTTTTGTGATACGAGTATTGATCATGTGTTATAACTCTAGTTTAACTCTCTCTCTCTCTCTCACTCTTTTTTGTCTAAACTAAACTGATCCACTACGTGTTATGTTTCTTATTACGTGATGAAGTGGACTGATAATTAACAATGATCCTTCTGTATGAAGAAAGCAAGACAACTATAATAATGCTATCAAGTAGGCTTTCGTGTGCTTCCCTTATCTCCATATTTACATTTATGCAAAGGAGAATGCCCTTGTGAAACTGTGCAAGAATCCTCTTGCTTGAAGGAAGCAAAGAGATTAACATTGTGCTACATTTCGTGCTTGGGGATTGCGTCTTTTATCAAATCACGGAAATGATCTTTTGCACGCAAGGATAAGGCCAGAAATATCTAACTAATCTTCTCAAATTTTGTAATGATACGACGGTGAAAACCATTTTCAAAGAAGATTACATATTTGACCCAGAACTTAGCAAGTTGTTCCGTCTTAATTTGCTAAGAAGATGATAACGAAATCTCTGGCTACTCGACCTCGACAATTTTGTCCTTTTTTGGCGGAAAAATAAGGTTCACCGTGCAGGCTTAGCTGTGGTCATACGTTGTTTTCATGCTTATCACCAAGACGTAAGACATTCTCTCGTGGAGGAAATTAAACCTTATCTTTTATACAGACTCACCCCTCTGTCTGTCTGTCCATTTAAAATGGTTAACAGAAAAAAAATAAAATAAATACTCCGGCCTCGTTTGAAAAGATAGAAAGTTGGATGGATAAATAAAATATCATGTTTGATTAGAAAAGAAAATAAGAAAGATGAAAAAGTTGATGAATTGATTTTCCTTCTAACTCTCCAAAATCAATTTCTTTAAAATCGGAAGGAAAGTGGATGGAAAGTTAATTATTTTTGTCTATATATTATGTATACATTACTTTTATATAAAAATATAATGATAAAATATGTATATATATTTAAAATTTTAAAAATAATTTAAAAATTAAAAAAAAATATTTTTTCCATCTTAATTTGGGGTGAAAATTTTCAACTCGACACGATGACACGACTCGAACTTGACACGAATTTGATTATAACTCGACACGAACTTGTAAATGACTTGACACGCGAACAAGAAATATAAAAAACTCATAATCTTATGATTCAACACAAATCTGAAACGACTTGATTTTCACTCTTAATTTTATTCAGTACGAATTTTTTTTAAAAAAAAAAATTAATTATTTTTATTTTTCATCAATCCAAACAAAAACAAAAGAAATAAAATATAAACATTAAGCCAAGTTATCTCTCTGTCACACACACACAGGCTATTGCTTTTAATAACTGATTCTTCAAACCATTTCAATAAAAAAGACATGATTATTAGGACACCGATGAGCTACAAGTCCGGCCTAAGTGAGATTGTGGTTTCTGATGTTACGTTCTGCTACTGAAGCTCTCTCTCTCTCTCTCTCTCTCTCTCTCTCTCTCTCTCTCTCTCTCTCAACACAAAAAAAAAAAAAAAAGAATCTTTTTTCGCTATCATGAAGAAAAATATGACGATCTTCCATAGCTTTCATGGGGAATAAGAACACCACCCGTCCTTGTTCACTTTACAACTATTGCACCGGTCGCCCAACAAAACCTTCAAAACTACCTCAGCCATATTTCTTTTCTTGTGTTTCTCCATTAATTAAACTGATGATACGTGTAAGCACTTCAAACCCCACACGAAAACTTCTCACCTTCATTCCTTGATGTGCTCTTCCCTACCCTCTCTTTAACACCCAAGCAATCTATGGAACACGTGAGAGAGAGAGAGATACACACAGACACACACACACACACATATATATAGGGTTAATTATAACGAAGGTTTTCAAAGTATGAAGTTTGTTTCACTTGATTTTTAATATTTTAATTTCATCATTTTGATCCTTAGAGTATTGAATATCTATATAATAAAATAGCTTACAATTCAAATTTTAAAAGATAAACAAAATGATTTTTATTTTTCGCAGTTCAGATCGTTTTAAATATTACTTTAAAGTTAATCTAAAGGCTAAAATTAACACCCTTAAATTTAATAGGAAAAATAGGCCTAAGTGTGTATTTGAAATAACTTTTTAAAAATTTTTTTAGAAATTATTTTTCATAAGTACTTTAAAAAAATAGTGTTTTAAACCGCCTTGCCATTATCTCTATCACCACCACCACCAGCGTCGCCACCACAACCACCACCACCATCGCTGCCACCGCCCCCACCCCCACCACCATTGCCGTTGTCGTCGTCACCACCACTACCATCACCATCTCCTACTACTACCACTGTTGCTCATCACTTCTCTCCCCCACTTTAAATTGATACTTAAATTCTTTTATCTTTTCTCTATATTTGTGATTTGATTTTGGATATGCATACAAATATATTTATTGTTTATCATTTTTTATTAGTCTGTGCCTTTAAACACAGACAATAACTAGTGTTTTTATATGGTCCCTCAAGAAAATAACATGCAAATTGTTAACGATTTTTTATTATAAACTTGTCACGTGAAACCTAAATATGAAAAAAATAATAATTTAAATAACTATTGACAAATTTTTTTCCAAATTTTGGTCAAAGAGGTACCCAAATTACATATTTTTAATCATGAACCATCTAAATTTTGGTCAAAAGTCACTCATATTACAACTTTTTTTTGTCAAGAACTATCCAAATTTTAGTTAAGAGCTATTCAAATTATTTTTTATTAATATTTATATATTACATGACAAATTTATAATAGAAAATCGTAAGCAATTTAGACGTTGTCTACTTGAGGGAATATATAAAAACGCATTAATATTTCAAAGACCAAAATGATGCAATTGAAATATTAAAGACTAAAATAAAATAAACTTCATACTTTGAGCGAAAAAAGATATAAATTCGTACATCAATTTCACTAATAACATGTAATCTAAGTTTAATCGGTGTACATGATTTTTGAATGTTGCATGTGTATGATTTGCATTACAACCAAAAAAAAAAAAAACGTGGTTAGGCTGATTCTCCATTATCAGGAAAAATAGTGACAATCTGTCTTCAGCATCCAAATGTAGCAGTAAAAGCAAGACGTGGCCTATCAAAATGAAATGATAAAGTTGGTACATTACATTGTCCCAAGTTACTGAAGTGCCTGCGTGTCCAAACAATGACTAGCTTCTGCCCAATCTTTGCTTTTAACAACTATTATGTGAAGGGTAATGGCTGCCAAGGCCTCAAACTCTCCTGATTTTTTGTGCCCGACAGGCTACTCCCTTAACTACATTTACATGTAAGGGCGGAATCAAAAATTTCTTCTAAGGTGGACACATTCTAAAATGGACGACGTAGTAGACAGAAGGTGGAAGACGTCGGAAGATCACAAGCGTTGAATTTCAAAAGGCTGCAGTTTTCTGTCTTTTATTCTAATGGTATATCTATAATATAAAACAGAGTAGATTTTAATAAATCTATCCGACGGTCTCAAATAGATTTATCCAACGGCTAGTAACATTTGTTTTCAAAACCATTCATATTATACTGTACCTTCAAACATGAATTATCCTTAGTATATTACATATTGTGGACCTAATACCTCACTTATTGAGCTCTAGTTCTAGACTTTTTTTATTTTGTCATGGGTTAATTTTTCTTTTGGATTGAGGATGGGCCCAATTCAAATAACTAAGGGGCCTGCGTTCCCTTGGCCGTTTAGTGCTCTGCCCATTGCTTGTGACATATGGATTGGGTTGAAACAATAGCACTTTTTTTTTTTTGTGGTCGAGAATTGGCCTTTTGGGCTCAATAACCACCCCAATTGCTTCACAATTATAACAGTCAATAGAGTGCTTTAATGAGTAGAGGCCTTAAAAATTCAAATGGAATTTTAATTAAAAAAAACTAATTTTCAAGGAATATTTATCACCGAAATCATGGGGCTGTACCAGCGTAGTGATTCCATACCAATCTTAACGATGATAAAGATTCCTCCAACATATTTTCCTCATTTCTTTCAAAGCTGATCATTCATTCATCGTATCTTGATAAGAAGATTCATCTATATATAGTTTTGTCACACATGAATTTTGAAAAAATGTATACATTAAAAGAGATTCCAATCACCTAAAACAGGGGTAAAAACATCTCAATCGTGGTCCTGACACCACCTCAAGTGTAACTAAGGAAAAGAATTGGTTCCCAAAAGTGGAGGCATCCAATTTTCTCAATCACCAAGGAACCTCCATAGGAAGCAGTAAGAACAAATTCCAATTTATATATGACTTAAAAGTTTTTAATGTATAGTGGGGTGAGGTTAGCGGGTGGCTTAATGGTCATCACTCTCGTTGTTGAATCTTATATTCACGGGTTTGAGTTATCCATTTTTAAATTGTTAACATTCTAAGGCATTAAAGTATATTAGAGAGCATTTTGGGTAATTGTTACTTACCCAAAAAAAAAAAAGATACGTTAGAAAGCTATTAATTCACTATCTTAGATGGGATGTTAGCTAACATAAATAATAACATTAACAATCAAAATCAAATTGAACCGAGTTCAAAGTTGACCCAACCCTAACCCTAAGGGACTGTTTGGTAACGGGTTTGAGAGGCTTGACAAGATGGGTTTCAAAAAAATGATCTAAAGGACTCCCAAACTCCATGTTTGGATTGAAAATTTAAGAGTTTTTTAGTAATATTTTTGTTTTCTTTTTTATTTTTTTAAAAAAAACAGAGACAATTTTTGTCTCTGTTTTTGTGATAAACACTTAAATAGA